ACAATAGTAGGAATAGTGTAGTAGGGGGTTCAAGCGTGGGCTCTGAATTTTTAACACACTGACCTTGACAACACAGGAGTGATATACAAATTGACTCTGGGATAAGAAAGGTGAGGGGGGGGTGAAGCAGCTTTTGCAGAAAATGGCTTGAAAAGATCTTGTGAGTAAAAATTATTTAATTCCAAAGCTTTTTTCCCCAACCACCCTTGTATGGAAGTATAGGTATGATGTGTTGTTTTAATCCTCAATCCTGCATACCCTTTTGTAGAGAGGTACAGTATAAAATGAATGTGAATGCACGATCACTTTGCACAGCAACCCATCAGGGTTAATAGTTCATAAAAGGTTGCAGCCCCTCTAATGACCGCCTATTAAATGCCCAACACATCTGGAATATGAATACTTCTGTCATGGCCAAGGCTTTAGCAAGATCAGATTTGTGCTTCTCTTAATCATCAGGAAGGTGATTAAAGAACCAATATGAACGCAAAATCCCATTAAGACGAGGGTGTTGCCTTTACATTAAAGTCCTTCCAGAAATGAGAATACATTCAGATGCAGTTTTCACTCAGGGTGAAGCCTCCCCAGAGAGGCTTTTTTCTGCCGATGCTTGATAACAACCGTCTTTTATTATCAGTTGTCATTTACATAAAATAAAAGTTGTAATGTATTGCTGTGCACCCTGCGGCCTTGTTTTGTTTCTTTGGGATGTATTAATATGTGGAGCACGTTGTTGGAGGTGATGCTCGTCTCCTGCATGAGCTACCGTCTCTAAAAAATGTAAAAAAAAACGCACCCAAAACCGAAGAAAGAACGCAACATCTTTGTTTGGACTGCATTAAAATAAGACTCAATAGATTTTTTGTTTCAATCTCATCTTGGTATCACTTAATGAAATATGTCTGTTAATTTTTGTTCCATCAAAACACGGCTAATAAAATGGAGAAAATGCATGAAAAAATGGGTTGGTGTACATAGCTGATTGCAGTCGATATATTTATACACTGCACTGAATCATTGTCATTGAGCGCATTGATTGTGTGGACTAATCAATGTTTCTTTTAAGCTGGATGAGACTGTCGGGACCACAGCGGAGGCTGAGTGATGAAGGAACACATTTACTGAGCTTCAATGGCCCACCCACCTGCACTGAGTAGACGTATTGCAGTGAGTTTGAGGGGACCTTAAACTTTATGCTGAGAGTCCTAGGTCCACTAAAAGGATGCTGCATTAGGGAGTGAAACACTCCAGTATTTTCCAGACCTCAGTCAAACTGAGCGAGAAAGATGAATGTTCTTTTTATTATATTTTCTAACCCGATACTGCAAGAAAGCATTGCATTACTGCTGTCCTAGTCTATATTTGGTGTCTCTACCACTTGCGTCTTTTACAACCTTCCTCCATCTTTTGGCACACCCGTCCTTCCTTGCTCTGATTACCGTAGGTCGTGCTTGCCAACGCCTGCATCAGGAAGCCACTGGCATGGATAAACGCCTCAGACAGGAGCTCCGAGATGCAATGAGGCAGTTGATACGGTGCTGTTTTTGTACCGGTAATTGGAGACGGTTGGAGATGGTTTCCGCCTGCAGCTGAACGAGACGTGTTGAAATGCCAGTGTCTGACGTATGGGAGCTTCTAAATCATGAACCCAGCAGGCACACTGACGCAGGTTCCTTCTCATTAACATCACCTCTCTGGTTGTCTTTTGACTAACCAGTGCAAACAATTGTTCATTTGACAGGACAACTCATCTTACAAGAGAGGGTGTTTGAGAGCGTCTCTTCATTGTTTCAATTCATTTCAACTTTGTCTTTAAGGATCAGGCTTGAGGGAGTTACTACATAGCAATGAAAAAACACATTACGATACTATAATAGTTGGATATACAGATATAAGATTATGATTATTTCCTCGCCAGCAAACTTTACAAGATTGGAATCCTTTTTCAACTCTGCCCCCCTTTAGCTACATCGACACTGTCATTGCGTCGGTCCATCTGATTGTGTTTTCCTCGAGTAAAGAGGTCCCTCGATGCTCCACAACAATTATTCCACAGCGTGCTGTGTAATTATACTATTATGTAGAGTTATTCTCACCGTCTGCATGAGCCACCAATCATCCCTGCACAATTTGTAAGTGTGTTGGCTGCTATACGAAGGCCAAAACTCTTTGCAGTGCGTACGATACCTCAGCAAAATCCCTGTACACCTTGAACGATGTCAATACATCCTCTGTGATTTACAGAATCAGTAGTGGTTGAGACTGGAAAGTGTGTGATATATATTTAACAATATTTACCCTCTAGAGATTAAATTGATGTTATATCACCTGAAGTCTAGAACTGGCCCATGAATGTTTTGTTACAATCAACCTTACTGCTAAGTGTATTAAATGAGAGACTCTAAAAGCAGAGCAAACAAACAGGCCAGCATCCGACGGGAGTCAGCAGGTCTCCCCCTGAAGAACTCCGCTGGAAGGTAATTAAAGGAATAGTGTGTTATCCATCGCTCCTCATTAATGCACTCTGAATTAAACACTTTCAGGCGAGAGGAATGGGGAGGAGGGGACAGGGGAGAAAATCCATGCAGACCTTAAAGTAATCTCTCTCTTTCAGGTCGGTCCAAACGAGGATGCCGGCTCATTACGGCCCAGCAGGAGATGAATAGTCAGTCAGGCCTAGAGCCAGTGCCGGACCGCCGCGTTGACAGACAGATCCCCACAGAAGGTGTTTGTGTGTGTGTGTGTGTGTGTGTGTGTGAGAGTGTGTGTGTGTGTGTGTGTGTGAGAGAGAGAGAGAGTAAGAGGGGCAACACACAATGAGCCACGGGGCAAAAACACGTTGCTACACGCGCTATCTTTGCCAGGGAGCAGGTGTGCTTAAGAAGGTTGCCTGCTGGGACACGGGGAAGGGTTCAGATGCTAATGCCTGGAATCAACAATCCCTGTGGTTTAACTTTGACCCCATGGTGGGTGACGGTCACATCTGGCCAGCTGAGGCAACCATCACAGACACAGTAGGCACTCAAAGAAATCGCACTGCTTAAGCTTTCACAAGCTGCTTCTTCTTGAATGTTGAATCCTGTGCATGTTAGATTTGTATGATCCTGATCCTCACATGAACATACATTGTGATAGTTAACTGTACTTGAAGCCTGTCCTGCATGTTATAAACCCCGTAGGCCACCTAGCCCACCAAAACACAACAAATATACCTGTTCTACATTGGCCAGCAGATGGCGCTGCAGTCTTCAGTATTGGTCAGGCAGAGGCAGCAGTTGAATTTATTTTAATAGTGAGGATGAAGCTTACCGGATTAATTATCATATTATAATTAGTCCTAACAGAATTTTGTTCATTTAAGTGTTTTTTTGTCTCACGCAGTATTACATACTTTGTATGCTGTCACATTTCCTTCATGTTGTCTTCATTTCCTTTTTAAATCCGTATGTCTGTTTATGTGTTGGTAATATGGGATGAGAAAAGTTAGATACAATCTCTTTTGATTAGATTAGAAGATCCACTAGACCAGCATGATGCATATTGATGCATCTGTTCATCATTCAGAGCAGTAAAATGAGGACGTGGGGTTTGGCTTCTTAATTAAAATCCATCGATTCATTTAATAAATTGGATTTAAACAATTACAGTATGTATCAGAGCACCACATCACACACATCACAGCGTTTATGTGGAATCGCCAAGGGACAAGCACTTGTAGCATATGGAAACACACACACACACACACACACACACACACACACACACACACGTACCCACAGTGTTCTGCTAACGTTTTCCGTTTCCTTAGCTGTCCTTCAAATTAGCGAAGCACACTTTATTATCGGGACTCTGGCTAATAGGTTCAGACATCTTCTCAACACAAGGACTAGTTATTATCACTGACTACTGGCTTTTCAATGAAAGTAATACACCTTGAATAGGTCATCTGCATTGTGAGGCTGACGGACTGTTGGACTGACTGTTGTTCGTTATGTTGATTGTTTTTTGCGCGTTTGGGGCTTCACACCGACCTTCATCCCTGTGAGGAAACGTCAGCTATTATTAGCTTAAGATAACTGAGCTGCAGAGCTTCACACAGAGTCTGTAGTTCGGATGAGAGAGAGTACGTGTGGGCGGACGTATGAAGACTGGCAGGATGATCGTCATGTCTTACCCTGCATCTGAGTTTGACCTTTCACAAAGGCAGCATGACCACAAACGATTAGTCTCGTTTAATGAATTTGTCCCGTCGCTACGAACCAGATTGCATCGCAGCTTCTCTTTCTCTTTTTGTTGTTGTTGCTATCTACATTCGTAACCATTTTCTATTTTCTGTCAAAAGAATTCTTAAAAATGTGCTTTTGAATACAGCTGTGCGGTTTAATGCTTTCTCTTAATACCCGGTGGACAATAAGAGCTAACAAGTGACCATGTTGTGATTTTCCATCCTCACAGACGTGCAGGGAACGGCACGAGAACGGGAGAGGAGAGGGAGGTTTGTGACACTAACGCGTGAAGTAAGACACTTTGGATGACCGGGAACTGTCCACTTGCTTTTGCTTTTGTGACTGATGTCACATTGAATATTAACGGTGACTTGGTTGTTCCGTCCGGCATCGGCACTGTCAGAAAATGCTTCCTCCCCTACAAGCTGGTGTCACCAGCTGGCTTCTTTGGCCTTAGACCACCGCAAAACGACGTATTAGATATAAAATTCAATTTTCTTTTGCGTGGTTTCTTTGATTTCAACATTTGTTGGGTTAGCTTCCTTTCTTTTGGAACAAAGTGCCACCATAATGTAATAACTACACCGCACAACGAATTTGGACTACGCGTGTCTAATATCACGTATGCAAGTTGACATCCTGGCTGTTACCATGAATTCCCTCCGAGCCATTCACACTTAATACTAATACTGGTAGGAGTTCCCAACGATTAAGACGACCCGTTGACTGAGAGTGACCCCCCGTGGTGTTCGGCCTGCCTGCCTGTCTGTGCTGCTATAAAAGCCGCCACCTCTCGCACGGCGCCGTTAGTTCCCCCCCTCTCAGCTTCAGGGAACACTTCAGCATGTCGGTGGCTCTGCGCGCACAGCTGCTCCTCTTTCTCCTCTCCATCTCCTGGAGGACGGGGCTCAGTCGCTACATCGAGGTAAGGCTTTTCGACAGATCGGCAATAATTACTGAGAGTTTTTGGTGAGGACTGCTAAAAAACAGCAACAACAACTCATTGTGACATCCGTTGTGTTTTATTCAGGACACTGAAGCTGAGGATGGATTATACTCTCTGCTCAGTTTGGACCAGAAAAGAGAATCAGAGGATTTCATTTTCCGCCGACCTCTCAGTAAGTGCTGCTGTAAATAATGGCTTTGGTTCAGTAGATGATTGTGCTCTATGATCTGGCAACAACAAGTGAAGCCTCTTTAAAGTATGTTAAGGGATGTATTGTGGGGAAACATGTCAGCACTAAATAGCTTAGGTACTTCCCTCCCTTTTTTCAGAAAAAAAAGCAACTTTGCACACCTTTTTGTTTTGACCACAAAGCTGATCAGAATAAATCACATTTAGCACAAAATCCTCGATGTCCACAAGTGGTCACCGGATATTGTTTGTGTGAATCCTCTCTCATTATGTACAAGTGGTCTTTCTTTAAGTCTGCGTGTGTGCTCTGTAGGGTGTTTGGACATGCTGGCCACTGACGGCTACTTCACCTTCGTGGCGTCTCAACCACAGCTGGCCTGTGCTGCCTTCATCATCGCTGGGCCCAGTGAGGTCATCAGCTTGGAGCTGTCTGACGTCAACATCGACTGCAGCGCCGGGGACTTCGTCAAGGTGGGTTCCACACACCGAAAATAATAACACCCACGCACGCCCCCCCCTCCCACCCCCAAACGCTTCGGGAAGGCAGAAAGTTCAGGGCTTCGCTCTTCAAACTTTTTTAAAATTTCTTTTTCATCCTCTCGTTTGATTAAAATGTTGCCAAGCAACGTTAAGGCGGCATTTTAATAGGGCCAAACACCCCACTTGATCCTCTGTGCATTGGTCACATTACTCAGAGCCTGAGTGGGAAGGCTTCAGTTGTGCAGCCAAGCCTGCCAGTTACCCCGCAGAGACGTTTTATGTGGGCCAAAGTGGTAAAAAGGCATGGCGGGAATAAGCCTTTATCCCACGGACCGGGGTTACAGGCTGGGTCGACCGGCACAGATCAGATAAACTACCAAACAACACACGTCTTCCTATTGGAACACATTATCTGCACACATTTCATCCCAGGGATCCATGTGGGCTTATAGTTCAGTGTCAGCTGTAAACTGTGTGGCCTTGAGACACTTAAACAGTGTTTTTAACCTAAATAGTAATCAGCTAAGATATCTTTTGCTTTTGAACGGCTGCTGTTAAATAAATTGAAGATGGATTTACATTTATATTTTTATTGTTTTACATTACATGTTACTAATGTAACAGCTCATCGGGGTCCAAACTAATGCTAATTCACACACACACACACACACACACACACACACACACACACACACATACACACACACACACACACACACACACACACACACACACACACACAGTGTTCAGCCTCACACTTTGACATGTGGTGGAGCTGAGGAACAAACCGTCATCATATCACCCTACTCATTCATTCACAGCAAGCCAGCGAATGTCCATCATGTAAACCTGACATGTAGACATTCTCCAAGTGCTTTTCTTCCCTCAGATGTTTGACGGCTGGGTCCTGAAGGGGGAGAAGTTCCCCAGCAGGCAGGACCACCAGCTCCCTCTCCACCAGCGCTACACCGACTACTGCTCCTCCGCAGCTCCGGGGGCCACCAGCCGCTCCTCTCAGAACGTCGCCATGGTCTTCTTTCGCATTCACAGCCCTGACAGTGGCTTCACCCTCGCTGTCCGAAAGATACACAACCCCTTCCGTGAGTCCTGCTGCACCTCCTTGAAGAGACGGCTAAAAAAAAGACAGAACAAGGCGCACGTCACCCACGTCAAAAAACAAATTGTGAACAAAACAATCCCGAGAACAAAATAAGACGAGTCTGTGCATTTAAAATCATGTGATTTAAAGAAAGAAAAAGAGGAGCTGGTGATTTGTGCGCGTGCATGTGTGCTCATCCTGGACGTTCAAGCACTAATCAAGGCCAAGAGCGACAGGAGGAGACTGAACGAGAGGCAAGCACCTGTTTCCCAGCTGCTCGAGCAACATGACAATCACATCGGGGCTGAGACACAAAGACGGATAAAGAAAAAGCACTGACACGTAAAATAGGGCGATTGTACGGATTATCACTAAGGAAACAGCATAGATCTCTGGCCAGTGTGCAAACGCATGTATGTACTGACCGCTAACCGCAGCCCTCCACAAATCACAAGTCTCTGCTGTTTAACAAGGTCACCCCACAATTCAGTGGCCATTAATAAGAGAATTCATGTAAATAAACAATGTTTGATTATGTAATCATGAATTAATTAAATAATTAGTTAAAAGATGAAAAATGTGTAGTCAGCCTGCACCTTTGTATGTGAGGAACAGTTACTAACCTTAAAATATAACAAATAAAACACATATACAAAAGTCATTAAGCTCATCTTCAAATCTTGCCAATCAAACCAGACCTAATGCAATTTATTCTAATATAATAATATATTCTAATATCTAATATAATACATTAGAACATGTCCACAGGAGTAAACGGTTCCGTGCCGGTCCGTGCCGGTCCGGTCTACCACACCGTTATCAGTTCTATGGTCGTTATTTCCTTATCTTCGTCATCACAACTGTAATTGGATTTCTATGCTCAGCCCTAATTGTGTCCCCTCCCGCAGTCAGCCTTAATCATGTCCAATTTGTGACACGAGGTGTCAGTAATGAGTTTCTCTCTGTGTGTGTGTGTGTGTGTGTGTGTGTGTGTGTGTGTGTGTGTGTGTGTGTAAAGCCTGTAACATCATGTCTCAGAGTCCAGAGGGCAGCTTCACCATGGTGATGCCACACCAGCACAGGAACTGCAGCTTCTCCATCATCTACCCCGTGGAGATCAGAATGACAGATCTGAGCCTCGGGCAGGCCAAAAGCAATGAACTCAGCCCACAGGTGACACACACACACACACACACACACACACACACACAGGGACACACACACACACACACACACGGACAAACATCCCCCCATTGTCAGTTATAGAAACCACTCGCTGACAACGTACTCTCACTTTTCTGAAAGTTCTCTGTAAATGAACCAATTATGTTGACCTCACGTGAACGGTTGAATGACGTGGTACACTCGCATGTCAAACACATGAAATACACAAATACACATACATTACAACATCAGGAAGCACAAACACACCTAGTGCTTGAGTGATGCTGTGATCAGCTGCTGTTGCACAGTGAGGGGAAAACAGGTCTTACCACACGTCCATGGTAGGAGGTCTGCGAGGATGCAACAATCTCACCTGCTAAAACCACAAGCTGAACGTACTATAATTTCTAAGATGATCTTTTATGTAAATGAATTTAACTGGAGGTACCGTAAGGTATTTGAAAATGCAGAATATAAGACATTTGATTGTTAGATTGAACTCACTCACTCTATGAGCCGTATTTGTAGTTATTTCTCTAATTAATACCACTAGAATAGACAGTATGCAGACCATGCCGGATCATGAAGGTACTCAATGTAGTGAATGTTTTTTTTTTGTCTTTGCACTATGGCCTCAAAAAACACGTATGTACACGTATGTCTGATATGATCAAATTATAAACACGTTGGACATGGAGGAAAACTAAAACTTAATAGGTTGACTCGTGACATGTAATAAATAATATATATGCCGTGCGGTTATGAGGAAAAACACCTTGAACATCTCACTTTATCATGCAGACTTAAAAAAGAAACTGCTGCATTTTCAGCACCGGAATATTTTGTTGTCTCCTTGTTTTCACAGAGGCAGGCGTGGGCGGGCTGTTCTGGGTCAGGTGACTATGTGGAGCTGCTGGGGGGCAACGGGGTGGACACCTCCATGATGGTCCCCATGGCTGACCTCTGCTTTTCCCTCACTGGGCTCGGTGAGTCTGAGCCCCTTCTGTTCAGCAGTGAATTAGACTTCTATGACGCACTATGAGGCTCAATGTTATTCATTTTAAACTAATACAGTACCGAATGTGCAAACAACATAATAAATTAATTTTATGAACGTCTTTGTAAAGTGTCTGTTTTCCTCTCCGGCCTTCAGCCCAGATGAAGATCGGTTGCGATAACTCGGTGGTGCGGCTGGTGTCCAGCGGGAACTACGTCAACCGCGTTTCCTTCCAGTACCGACTACTGGAGCAACGTGAGCTCCCCAAGAGCCCAGAGAACGCTCTGGATAACTTCTGCTCCGTGGAATGAGATCGCACTCGTACTGCAGACACACACACACATGCACACACACGACACTGTAAATACACCAGTTCCACTACCGCCGTCAACACATATTTTGTTATTGCCAGATGTTTTATCCAGTGTCATGTCTAACAGTGTTCGCTTCGATCATAGAATATTTATTTGAATTGAACCAAGCATGTGGAGGATGGTGGATTCAGTATTTTGTTATTAGTTTTTTTGAGATACGTTACATTTCTTGGCAAGATATTTCGTTTAACCCTTTCCACTGTCTTCAGTGCACATTGTTTTTTTTAGTATTCTTGGGGAGGTTTTGCATTCTCTGCTTTCTCTTGTGTTTAAAATACTTTGACAATTTAAAAATAAATATTACTTGCATGATAAAGCAAATGTTGTATGTTCTGATTTTGTGAGTCACTGTATGTTCAGAAGCTTTCTTCCATTTAATTATGAAACCATTTGCTCAACTGGTCTTTGTGTTGCTACTAGACCCAAAAACAACAGCCCTGAAACCGCGGTGACGTTCTTTCGTTGGTTTTGAATGTTTATTTATCAACAGGAGTTTTTTTTGTTTTCAGCAAAACGGAGAGATGCTAAATATCTTATTCAATGTAAGTGGCTTATTTAGCAAAGAGGGTGACCTCACTTTGGTTTCGACTGAATAATCTCAGCAACTATTAGATCGGCATGATATTTTTGACGGACATTTACAGAGCGTTGACTTTAGGGAGCCACCGTTACGTAGTCGTGTGGTACAGACACTTGTGCCCTCATAGTGAACTGGGATCATGTTGCTCCATAACACTTAATCTTCACAAAATACTCAGTTGTTCATACATTTAATGACCAAATACATGCTAAAATATCTACATTCCCATCACCACCAACTGCAATTTGTGTTCAATTCTAGTAATTTTTCAGTAACAGTAAGAACAGTATGATGGTGAATGTGGTCAATATTGTACCTCTGGAACATCTGTATGTTAGAATGTCACAATACTGCAATGTAACATTGCATTCACCTCAAAGTAAAAAACAATATTAGACGGGTCTAATCTTGGATCAAATGCTTGAAGTTTAATTATTAGTAGAGGCCATTGCTGAATGACGGGCTTATACACCGTAAATGTGCATTCCAATGGATTCAAATACTTCCTCGGCGATCAATATGAAGCAGTGACGCATGCGTTTTCATTTTTGTAATCCAATCTGTTCCAGAATCAAACTCTGAAATAGCTTTCATACGGGTTGCTCATCCCTCAAAAATTATAATTAAAAAGGCTTAATACTGAGAGCTGTGAATAATACACCACCATATTCCGACACTGTGAGAATAGAGTTGTGCTTGTGACCCCTCTCCATCACAGCCCTAATCTCTCCCATACTGTCCTGCTCTGGATCCTCCGTCTGAATGAATGCGCAGCTCTTAATGGGATTATCCCACAAGCCTCAGTGCTCTTATTCCCCTCGACCTCCTTCTCACTGGCTGGCTTTTGATCCTCTCCTTACGTAGAATTAATCTCAAACCTGCTCAACCGCGATGATTCAATTAACCAGCGGATGTCTTTTTTCGCTCCATGTGTTGCGATTTTCAGTCTTCATTAGAGAGTGAAACGCACATTGGATGCCAGCGAAGGAGAAAAGGTCTGATTCCTCTACTCTGATGCTGGGGACAGCGGTCCTGAATGTTCACTATGAATGACCTGTGATGGAGGACCAGACCAGAAAGGGTCACAAGTCCTTGTAGATGAGATACACATCTGTACAGAAAGGGACATGCTTACATTATCTATTAAAAGAGGTAACAGTGTTGAAATGATGTTTATTTAAGGAATTATTCATACTGGACTGACGGAATAACCCGCTACTGATATTTCACTCTTTCCCTCCCTCTCTTTTCTCATATACACTGTACTGTACTATCGTAGGGGTTTTGGGTTTATAAATGAACTAGCGTGGTCCTATTAGCCATGGGGCCATAAAGAGTCTTTGCTGCAGGAGGGAGGTCCTCCATCACGTGTCCTAAATGTCTCACCCTTGTTCAATGACAATGCAAACTGGTACGCAGGATGACATTCGTCTGTTAGAGAAATGATTTAATGTTATTTTGGGAGAAGAGGCAACATTTATGCCAATCCAGGACAGTCCATGAGGACTCGACTGCGTTCGTTGAACGCGTTGTGAATGAATCTCTCTCTGCCACAGCCGAGGTGATCACACCACCTACTGCTCATCCCGTTTGTTCAATGACTCGCTCATCAACAACTGCATTATAATCTATAAGTAGTGCCATCACACTCTGTGCATAACTTGTTCTGCACCCATGATGGAAGGACATTTCCATCCCTTCTTAAGCACAGATGTGCAGTGTGACATTTCTGCAGGTCACATTTTGCATTCAAATTTTAAAATTAAGTGAAGGTACTGAGGCATCGTCAGCTAGTGGCGCAAACAGTGGAACAAATGTCTGCTTAACTATTTACTCATATGTGTGTTCTAATTTATTCTAAATATATTTAGAACCCTACCCCACCCCGTTGTGGAAGAACAGTGGATATCTTAACAGGGGCCCAATTCAACAGCAACAGACTGTAAGTTAGTCAGTGAGTTAATCAGGTCAAAGTACACATGACACTTATTTGTTTCTAGATAAACATCAGTGGGAAGTTAGAACAAACATCAACAAAAACGATTAACACAAAAATCCTAATGAACAGTTTGCGTTTCCCGGCTTGTAGAGTTTTAGTTACAGAAGGATTCTCCTCAATGTGGCAGCCGACGCCCACGGCAAGCGATTCCTTTTCAACGTGGGCATAGTTGACTTGTCCACACGAGCGCATGCTGTGACATTCCCCCCGGCGCTGATTTGGACGCTTCATGTAAATATGGTCTCATCGGCTGGTGGCATCATTCTGCGTGATGTTTGTGTCTCTCTGATGTCATCCGCTTCTTTCCGCCTTCCGTTTCTAGTGCCTGTAAGTCCCACGTGATTACAGAGCCCCGTCCAACGTGAGGAGCACACATTAGGCTTCGGGAATAAACAAGGCCGCACGTTGAACCTGGAGCAGATTTAGGAGGATCACGTCCTTCAACACACTTATTTCGGTCCGGATGCACACATGACACGAGATTTTGTTAGTATCTAAATAAAATAATAATGAATGAATTAAAAAATAATAGCATATCTTTACATTACTACAAACAACGCAGTAGTATTAGAAGTGTTACCCACGGGAACCGTGACAGCGCCCAGCAGGTGAACTGGCACCTCTCCAGCTACAAACTCGCAATCTGTACTTGAATTGCCGATCACCGGGTTCCCGACAAACACGCTCATATTTATTCACCTGTGTGAAGTGATTGGCTGCGTTATTTCAGTTCAGTGGTTTTTGAAGGTTTCGCATCCTCGATATACGTTGTATGATTGAATGTAACATCCAACCAAACGGAAGAGAGGATAAGTGCTGTAATTAAGATAAGTGGTGTAAGTAAGATGGCTCTTACTCGTAGCACTTAGTAGTTGTGCTTCCCTGAAGAAATTGCACTTTCTTGATTCTTGTTGTTCTTGGTTGAAACGCACTCACTATAAGTCGCTTTGGATAAAAGAATCAGCCAAATGAAATGTAAGGATTATAGACGCATTTAATATGATTGTCCAGTTTACAGAATGACATAAGAACGTTATACCTGTTTTTTATCTAACATGAGCAAATAAGGTTTGTATTTGCTTTTGATATTATATTAGCTGTATCTCATTAAGAAGTGGTAATTATGGCATAAAAAGCACCGTCTCTATACATTTTCAGTTCTACTGCATGTGGTTTGCAAACATGCAACAGATGAAATAGTAGTTTCTGAATAAATGATATATATATAAATATAAAATGTAAATGTATATCATAGTGTTGGCTCGTGTAAGATGGCAGCAGCTAAATCCCACTGATATACACGGTATGCCTTCTACATGCCGGATGGACTCACTTTGCAGCACGGTTCAAATTGGAAACATTCAGACATCCATGAATGAGCATTCATTGGTAAAAATGTGTCCCTTCAACATATTAACATATGACCTTTTTTCTGTGGCTTTGTTTACCTCGTTAAAAAGCATTAACTCAATCTACTTCAAAGTTAAAATGATCCCAGAGCCAACATCATATTATATTGTAATTGTTCATACACTACTTGGACAGTATTTGGTAGTTATGATTTACAAACTTAAGAAAAGTAGCTGGACACCACTGCATCCAGGAGCGTTTAGGGAAGTATAGCCACTGTTATATATAATGATTAGTTAATTTGTTTAATTGACAGCATGACTCATGAAGCTAAATTTAAGGTAACTCAGTGTAGATATAATAATCTGCAAAAGCTCTTTTTTGCAAAATGATTACTTCTCTCCATAGTAATCTCCATATTAATGTACCGATTCTGTTATTAATAATTATATAGATTAAAGTGTAAGTATGTGAGAATTTACTTGATATTGATATTGACCCCTAATATCACAGAATGACTGCAGCGTACACAGAGGATTTGGTTTCTTACACTAAAGTGATAATGAATAAACACCAGCTGTTGTTCTTTGGCTTTTATTTCGCAGACCACGTTATTATTAGAGTGACTTAACAAATACATTTGCTTCATATCTACAGTATATGAATGGATAATAGACATAAACAGGAGAACTACTGCAATCTATCTGTCTACAAGCTTCTTATTTTAAGAATCTCACCATTATGAGGAGTTTATTTCTCCTCTACTGCTCTCTACTGGCTGCTTTCACTAACGCAGGACCATGTGTGGTCAACTTTAAACAAATAGTGCTCTCTTCTCAAATTCAACCCATGGAAACAGGCAGGGCATGCCTTGCTCCAAATAATCAATATTAATTTTTAAATATTCTGATTATCTCTGATTACCAGGACCTTTCCTCCACGTTTAAACCCTCAAAGCATCACAGCTGATTTTTAAAGCATGAAAATGTAAAAATCAGGCAGCTTATCCTCAACAGAAGAGCGTGATGATGAATAAGGGCGCCAGAAGGAGAGGGACAAAGACTCCACGGTGTTTAGCTCCATTACACAGGTCTTCGGCGCAGCATCTGACACCCACGGCGTCCTCGTTATTGCACACGTCGCTTCTCATGCATTCTTTGGTGATCATATTCTCAGCAGCTGCAACCGAGAAAGAGAATATTAAATAAAGGGAAAACATTTGATTTTGATAAGAAATAAATTGCACAATAAAGAATAATAGGATGCAATAATCGTGACGTGATATCAAAGCCACGTCAGATTCACCTTACCAACAGTGGTGCTGCAGCGGTCGTACTCTCTAGGACAGCTCCACACCTGAGTGCAGGTGCCCGGGTTTGCGCTCCAGCAGGTGAAACACTTTAAGCCACACACTGAAGGCAATGAAGTATGAATAACGGTCGCAATGGTCAACAAGAACAACGACATTTCAGGACTGATATCTGTTCTGCTGATCGCTCACATACTGTTCTTACCTCCTGAAGGCGTCATCACATACACGAATGCTAAAAATGCACACAGCCTCATGTTGAGCCTTTGACGAAATGGGAAAGCTCAAGAAAATTGGAGACACACGTTGGTCCTCTGAAGTCAAATGAACATCATCCACTTCATTGCGTGTTTTATATTTTCCAACACAAAAACCACTTGTTATTTGAGGCATTTCTTGTTAGGGGAGTGCCGGCCGGACTCTAATGTTGATCATTAGGCTTATTCATTCTTCATTAGAAATCCATTGTCAACGTATTTGTCCCGTTTGTGTGCAAAGCGTTCAACCAAAACACTTGAGCTTGCTGGTGGTGAAGCTGAGGCTGCAGCTGCCACACCTTGAAATGTCAATGTGTAACTAATCCATTTTTACACACCCTAAAGGGCTCCGGCCGAGTATTCACGTCGCCGTATAGAATTGGCCTCTTTAGGCCGACTAGAAGAAACGCACATATGCTGTTGACACACTTGTGTGATAAGTGACAATCACAGTTAAGCACAATTAGTTCTGTGTGAAGCAACATCGGATCACTCACTATCCTGCTCAGAAAATCCCATTTTAGCAACCATCTGCACATTCCTCATTCAGGTTCCATCATTAATAGCTTTCTGACACACACTCAGACACACACACATGATTCTCTGGACTCTTTTGTGTCAATCTCTAATGGCGTTATTTGATCTACGTCATTAATCTGCTGCCAGAAAAAGAAGAGTGACTCAAAAAGACTCTGAGCAGTCTGGGACCATTAAACCAAACAGTTAAAACACACATTTCCCAAGGCAGCATGGCTTAACTTGTAAAGGATAATCCTCCTTGCCTAAGCATATCACAGCAAATGACCGCCCCAGTTCAGCCTGTCTAGGGTCTGTTGTAAGGCGCTTGGCCTTCTGGCCCTGAATGAAGACCTTTTTTAGGAGGCAGGTATGGTTTCCATGGCAGGTTAACCACCAGCTACCAAGAAGTAATTCCGGTCCATGGCCACTTCCTTAACAATTACGATTTCTTCAGCTTCTTCTTTTTTTTTGCTTACTTGCTGCAGTAGCTGGCTCTAGTCTTCTTTGTCAGTCAGCTCAAGCAGCGATTGAGCACCTGCTAGTATAGTTGCACAAGTCGTGACAGTATTGTTGGATAAAGCTCCATGCTAGTCGGCCATTAACAACGTCTGTGTAAGAGAAGGAGCAAGCAGAGCGGTTGGAGGTGTGTACTTTATCTGCACAGCTGTACTTGCCTTTCTGTCCAAGCTACATGTAGCGCTGTTTATTTACTGGTTTTGCATTGGTTTAACGGAAATATGGTTTATTATAATCCAATAATATTTGATTGGTGAAATTTCTGATTGCTTTTGGTTTAAATAATATAACTATGTCCGATCTAAAAGACAACCAGTGGTAAAATAAGTATTCAGATCCTCAACTTAAGTCAAAGCAGCAATAAAATCATGTAAAAAATATTCCATTGCATTGAATGTTGAATATTGAAGTAATAAACCATGAAGACAATTAAGTGCAAAGTATAACAGCAGTTGTGTTTTCAGCATGAATAGTAGAATTACTCGTTTTGCAGAGAAGTGGCCCCTGTGACTGTGGGCGCAGGTCCAGGTGGATCTATTGTCGTTTAAGTACTTCATAAGCCGTCTCACCGTTAAGCCTTTAGGTGGTTGCCAATAATGGTTCCCAACATAAGGTTTGGGCCCTTCCTGACGGACCACAAAGGGAATTTGGAGTGACCTGAGAGGATTTATGGAATAGAAAAGAAATGTATATTCATTGTTGATCTTCCCTTTTTTGATAAAATATTGGAGGAATTGGCTTCAAACGGGTATTGTCTTTGACCTCAGAGGCTGCACCAACACCACAATTGACCCTTTGCTAAGTCCCACCCTCGAACGCAGACTGGCCAATCAGAGCGTAGCGCAGCAGTCTGCAGGGTCTGACTTCTATATGACTCCATGCACTCTCATGCTATCCACAAATTAATTTAATGCTCAAGCTACGTTTGTGGATCTGGAGCTAGTTAAGGTCAAACGCTGTGAAATAGTGATATTTGTTACCCAGAGAGGAAGGAGACATTTCTAAAAGTAAAACATCTACGTGGTGAGGATTAACACGTTGGACGGTAAAACACCTGCCAATAATACAACTCGGTTCGTCAATAGAGTTTATTCTGTTTAGAATATATTCATTTATTGTGTATGTAAGTCGGTACGGCGCTACACATGCTATTATGCTACTAATAAGATCCTGTAAATGACCAGCGGTTGGAGCGCCCGCTCGATTCCAGGATTCCAGGAGGTGACGCTCACTTCCTGAACTGGGGGATGGGGGCGGGGATCTTGATGTCCTGCCCCTTCTCCAGCCTCTTCTCACACTCGATTAGGTAGTTAACGCCGTCAATCACCAGCTGTACCAGCTCCACCTGAGGATGCATGGTAACTATGCTCAGAAATCACATGATATCTGTGGAACAGGTTCAGGACATATGGATTTGCATCATATTATCTACTAAGGTGCTTTTGCTCACTGAGCTCAGGCTTTCAGGAAGGACTCGGCACCGTGCATCCACAACCCTAAACCCTGACCTCTGCTGTCTATGAGCATCAGCAGCCGTTGATTGGTGGCACTTGGAGGCCGTCGCCTCGGCCTGAGAGGAAGGGCAGTAGGAGCGGCTCGGCTCAGGAGACCGGGTTTCTTTTAATCTCAGCGGGCACACGCCCTTGTGGATTACAGATTAAAGACCACAGCGCTTCACCTGCTGGGATGTCTGCTGTCCTCTGTCTGACTTTGTGCCTTTATCTGCTGCTCATTTCTACTTTTACTTCGGCCGCTGACTTAACCCCCTCCGGTGTTTACCTCCGACTTGCCCAGTCGGTCGAGGTTGGAGACGTCGACGGTGTCTCCGGTGGCGGCCGTGTCCACGCCTCCCGTGCCTCTCTTCTGGAGCCTCAGGTTTTCCAGGATGCGTTTGAAGCGAGGGTCCTAGATCATAAACATCCCACAAACAGTCAGAATCGCTTTTTTTTCCCGCACGGGAGAACAACATTCTGTGTCGTTGAGGTTGAACTGCGCGTTTCGTGCAATACCCTGCTGAGGATGGGCAGGCGGATGTGCACGCCGGCCCTGAGGCCAGTGCCGAGGTTAGAGGGGCAGGTGAGGACGTAGCCCAGACGGTCGTTCCACATGAACTCCCAGCCTCTCTCCTGAATCAGCTGCTCCACCTACGAGTTACAGGAAAGGAGTATCTACATGTCACTTAACGTTAACACACAACTCAAAGAGAGCCGCGGCAGATGGGAGACAAAATAACAGGGACACATTTTGCGTTGTTTTGTTGTGTTAATTATAATCATATGATAGTTTACTTAGAGACATGTGCACCTGTTTAAGACCCCTGCAGAAGCGTTCAAACACCCTCTTCATGTTCCCTCCTTTCTCCATGGATATGATCCTTGTGTGGTCCTCCTCGTTGATCCAGATTAAGAAGTTCTTCTCGTTGTTGTGCCTGTGACAATCAGGGACACACTCTTAAACACCAGTTCAAAGCGGAGAGAATGTGTCGAATACTGATCAGAGTGAAATTTGATCAGTGCAGAACAGCAGTCGGGAAAACATTTTCAGAGTAAAGTAAGGCATCAAAACCAGAAATGAAATGACCAATCACAAACCAATTAGTGAGTAAGTGTTTGTTTCAGAATGCTCCCAGTGATGTATTGAGCTGCGTGTGATTAAACACACACGGGAGTCTTTGCGTGGGTGAGTCTGCTCGTTGTTTCCTGTGGATTTAGAGCCTTGCAGCAATGGGGGCAACGCGCTTTCCATGATCTGCTCTTACATAATTTGACAGAAAAACATTGTAATCTTATTCCACCCTATAATCCACTTCTTTCCAGTCTTATTGGTCTTGTACGGCACGCTGGTGGTGCCTATTGGTGTCTGACGTCAGACAGTGTTCCCATGTTTACAGGAAATAACCATCAAATACGACCGCTGAGAAGAAGTTACGGCATGAAGGTGGTGGCGGATTAACGGTATTTGTGTTTCTGTCATTGTCTCCACCGGCATAAACCAAACACCCGTGATGGCAGTGAATGAAACCTTTGAGACAGACACTCTGTCTTCAGACAAAAAGAAAGAAGCTGTCTTTTGTCCAACTCTGCAGTGACTACAGCTAAGCTACAGGAGCGGCTGAATGCTACGTCTTCCAGACTGCGTTTCTCCTACCAGATCCCACGAGCGTCGGGCCAGTCTCTGGCCATCCCGGCTGACATGAGCAGCGGTGACACCGGTTTATCAAACAGGAGGTGATCCTGATTGGCCGTTGTAAGGGACAGAGGGGACACGGGATGCCAAAGGTCATCAAAAACATTTCAAATAGGCACAGAACACTCGCGTGTCAGCGCGCGGGTGACTTCACACTAACATCGATGAGCTGCTGCTGCTCTCTGTCAGACATCTCCCCCAGGCTGTAGTAGCGGCCGCTCAGGTCTCCCTTCAGGCCGGACAGGGCCGTCACAGCCACGCGCTCCACCTCGCGGCGCTCGGAGCGAGAGCACGCCGGCGGGAGACTCAGGCCACGGATGCTGCGACCGGTACGGACTCGAGACGACAGCACGTAGCGCTCGTCGAACATCCCCGCGGTGATCTGACGGAACACAAGAGTGTTTGGTGACTGTACGAAGGGAACCGATTAAGTCAAGAGCTCACAGAGCGCGCGTGGGTCACCTTGGAAGCGTCCAGGTCGGTGGGGTGTTTCATCGTGCGAGGTTCGTAGCCATTGTGTCGGTCCTTGATAACAGGGTCAAAGAGCTCAGCAAACACCTGATGGAAAGAAAAAAAAAACCCAAGCACTTAGTTTCGTCCCCCCTTTTAGGAGTGTGGACACAACAACACACCAAACATGAACTCCAACCTCATAGCTCTCCTCATCTCCGGCCACCATGCCCACAGTCTTGATGAAGGGGTGCCCAGGGTTGTCCACCCCAGTCTGGATGCATTGGTCCAGGGTCCAGTCATTGGGGGTTGTCTTGTCCCTCAGGCGGCCGTAGATGGACGGGGTCAGCGCTGCTGCCATGCAGTTGTTGTGCTTCCTCAGGTCAGGGTAGTCTGCACTGTAGACAGTTACAGACGAGACAGAAGCTTCACCTCTAGTCCAGCGCTTTCATAGTTAAAATGATCGGCTGATTATCTTCTTTGCTGGAACAGTAACGTTAGATACTCCTGCCGTGAAGGAGATCATGGAACGACCTCACAAACACACCCACGCACAGAATACCTGGGTGGATAGAGCCTCGTCCTCTCAGCAGCAGCAACAATGTGGTCACTGAGAAGGTATCCAGATGCCAGTGTACCAGCTCCTATGCTGGCCAAAATCACCGCCGTGTGACGGCCAGACATCATACGGGTGAAGGAGTTTGCCATGGTTGTGTGGTCTTCGTTATTACCTGGTGAAAGGTCAGAGCGAAATGTTGACTTGAGCTTTATCCTGCTTAAATGTTTCTTTGGGCATCCAGACTTGTAAAATAGTGTTCCATTTCCCTTCTCTGTGTCTCACAGTCGTGAGAATCAAACGTCGTGTGATGTTGTAGTAATCTAAGCATTTGCACCTTTTTTATTACTGTAACAGATAGTTCTGCAGTCTGTGTGATGACATTACTCCAGAAGCAGAGAAAGGCCTCTGATTGGTCGTTTCTGGCGAGCCACCAGCTCAGCTGATTAAATGATTTGTGATTGGGTACTAAGAGAGCTACTGGCTCCTTGTATTATTATATAGGTAAAGCATCATAAACTGCAATATGTATCCGTATTATATAGAGATGCTGCATATTTCTTATAACACAATTGCAATTCTATATTAATCTTCCAAATCTCCATCACACGCACACACGGCACAGTTTTGGTGGCAGCAGTCGTCGAGGTTAAAGGGCCTTTAACCTCGTGTTAAACCCAGCACAACATATGCTCCTTTCAGACAGCTTGAGCTGGTCATCTGAGTTTACACAAGAAGAGCAGGTAGAAAAAGAGACAGAGTCAAGTGGTGTGGAGGAGAGAGGGAGAGAGAGACAGAGAAAGGGAGAGAGAGAGAGACGGTAAATTGAGTTTTAGAGGAGATACAGACGCGTTTAAGACAGTCGGAGGTGCAGCACATTGAAGTCAGTGAAGGCTTGGAGGTTAAGAAAGAGTGCACATTTTAAGACCGTAGAAGATTAAGTGAGGAAGGAAGGTAATTAAGATTGACACCTGTAACCAACGACTAACGGCACGTTACACGGGAGATGAACAGGGACCAGTAGTTGCCACCGGTTAACAATCCCCGTTACCGTCAGGCAGAAAATGTATCTTAGAATCCATTAAATACTAACAGCTACTTTCACTTCTCCCGGGGCAGCGGGTTTTCATAAGGAGGCACCGAAGAAGCTGCAAGAGAAAGATGTGTGGCGAGAACGGAGACTCCACCGCTCACCTGAGGCTCGTCGGAGGAGTGGAGGCCCGCGGATCGCCTTTGCGTTTCCTTCAGCTCAGTTGGGAGACGCTCAGTCTGCAGAGTGAGAGCAGACTGAGGAACAGAGATGGGATCAGAGGGACGGGGACGCTGGCTGAGGATTAGCCTCTTACCGGGCATCAGACAGGAAATCCTCTTTCTGCTGTCAGTCAGCACTCGCAAGCACACACTCAGACGCACGACTATACACACCGATACACATTAATACCCTCCAACTCATATCACCACATGCAATTCAGAAAAATAAAAGGGGTCCCCTTCACACAGCTCAGAATACATCCATTAAAAGGGTGAAGTATGTGGCGTGGATTCTGTGTGGTGCAGTATAAAGTGCAGTTTTGGCACCAACATGGAGGGTGAGGACAAAAGCAAAGATTTTTTAAACACAAACTCGCGAAGTACAACCTCCATCTTATAATGTAAAATGTTTATTCAGCATCACCAGTGAATTGTATCTCTAATATTTATTTTTCCAATATCCAGCAGTCCAGTGTTAATAAATGAAAGGCCTTGAAGAGGCTGAGATGACATTTAAGTTGTCAGTTATTCTGCTAATAAACAGCCGATCACAACGAGACAACATCAACGAGACACTACTCAACTTTTACAGCGACACATTTACAAACACTCAACTTGTCTGAGATTCACACCAAGCCACTTTTCTCCTTCACTCCATCTGCTGCTGTCTGGTCTGTATTGCTCTCTTCTGCTCCCTTAAATATACACATATATATTTTATGTTTTATTTAAAAACACTTTTGTCAAAGCACAAAGTGTCTGGTGGCAGAGGAAACAGGGTCCAGTCTATAATATCTCGCTCTTTGTCTGCCGTTCTGTCCCAGATTTCTATCTTCCAACCTGTTTACTCTTCTAGTATCTCTTCCCAAGCGCAATGCGCCTTCTAGCGGCCTTGATTGCAAATAGCAGCGTAGCGACTTAATGACAACGGCAATTCCTGAACACTTAACTGAATTAAAATAATTACCCAGGTGTCTGTTTTTTTACTGATCCTTATATCAACTTATGAAGCAAGCTGCTTTAAAACCCTCAACGCATGCAGCCGCAAGCCCGGCTCCTCCCCTATTCGACTCGCTCACTAGGCCCAGATTACAAACAGCATTTGTTAGCCGAGGTTCATTCTATTTGCCCCTTGTCTTCTTTCTCTGCGGTGGCTGCAGGTGTTGCACATATGTAGTTGAATGAACTTTTAACTTGCATAGTCAGATGACTGACCTTCTGTTCTGGCTCATGTTGGCTGAGCATCATGTGTTGGAAATGCTGCGGTTGTGCTGCCTACCATGACTTATATTATGTGTTACGGTTATTATTCTATCAGAATGGTTATAGAATATAGGGTCTGAAGAGTAATTAATAATAAAAAGTAAATAAATAAATAAAAAAGGTAATATCAAAACATTCATAACAGAATCAGTGTGTAAAAAAAAAAGAGTTATGCTTCAGTATGTTGAAAAAAGAAATAAGAAAGTGGTATTAGTTACTTACTTCGTAGTGCAGGCGCACAACAAACTGTATTAAAACAGAGGACCAGGTTAAAATCCTCCTCTGTGTAACTGTGCACCCAGTGAACCACAGAACATTAAACCACTGAAAACACCACCAACGAACACTAAAATATACGTGCAATATGTGCAATAACCACTGTGACACACTGTGTGTACATATACGTATATTTGTTTAGGTCCTAGTATATTTAGTTACTTTTGCACTCCTTTTTTATTTGTGTCTATTAGTACTATATTTTTTACTTACTTACTTATTACTGTTGCTCTGGTCTTGTTTTGGTGCCTTGTCCACTTTGCTGCCGCCATCCTGTGAATTGTGGGACTAATAAGGGAATATCTCTTCTTATCTCTGTTTCTTCTCTCCTCACACATTTTGGATATAATAAATAGTTTTTCTACATTATGTCAAATGAAGTGATATTATAAGATGTTGAATGACGAAATGCTAAATTCATAGTACATACAGTATGTGGAAAAATGTAGTAAATTCTGTCTTACGACAGTCTACTCTTAGATCTGAGTATCAGATAAACCCCCCAGGCGTCCGACAGGATTTCAGGAGAAGTTAAACTATGATTTAACTTTTGTCTTCAGAGTTTGGTCCTGTATCCTGACTTTTGTTTAAGTACCAGATGCTGCAGAAGCCTTACATGCCACACGTAGCAGAGACTTAATACCATTGAAATGATTGCACAGTCCAATGAAATACACAAACACGTAAGGCATATTGAATTTATTTCTCCTTCATCGACAAATGAAAATGCAAACAAATACACAGTAATGATGCAAAACAAACAAACATTCTTACACGTGTGTCAAAAAGACGGTCAGGATAACAGACGCGGTACAAACAGGTTTTTCCAAAAGCAAAGCCTGAAAACATTTCCTGTGATCAACCTCTTACTTACTCTTTTGCAGATTACATCACCTAAAAACTATGCTTGAGCTGGGGACAAATGGGACACATTCAATGGACAAAATATTGTTTCTAAGCCTTTTAACAGAGCCTCCTGACAGCTACAGAGACAATATTGATATAGAAAAGCAGCGGGACAACGCAGTTGGACATGCACAATATGCAGCTGTTGTGTGCATGCAGGACAACTATGTTCATCATATCAGCAATACGGAAAAAAAACATTCAGATTATTAAAATGCTACATGTTTTTTACTTTCAAATGACGTTGTTTTTAATAAAGTTAAACAGATTTCTTGCAGTACAAGAGCCTGGGATGCAAAACTACTAACTTCAACATAAAGAGACGTAAAAACAATCAAAATCAATATTCACAGCATCACAATTCAAACTCAATCTCTTCATCAATCATATGATATGTGTGGGATATCTCTATACAAAAATGTCATAAATGCAATGCGTTATTATATAGCATGGTAAAATAACGATCAAACTATCACTCAAGCGAAGCTACATCTCAGAGAGTGCAAAATCGGCGTCGGCCTACAGCCGCGTCACGCACAGGGACTGACTACACGCGTCTGCATCAGACAGTTTGTAAAAGCCAAACAAATTCAACAAATACACAAATGCTGCAAAAGCTTTGGATCAGGAGAGGTTATTACAATGTTTAAACACTAGAGGGAGATATTTGCTGCAATGACTTTACTTTGTTTACACTAACATGCTACTCTTAAGTCTACATCACCTGTTTTCTGAAGAAAAAAAAAGAAGTTGAATGAGTGAAACTCAAGTCCAATTTGAAGGTAACTCTCAAGCTTTTGACGCAGGTTTTATGTAAAGTTGTACGCTTGTGTATTGGTGACCTACACGGTGGAAGGCACTAATAAAGTGTTTATATTCATCATTCATGTGGACATTTTCATTTGCTCTCCCCTCAGCCCTTAGGCAAGGAACGACTAAAGACCAATAAACAATATATTGTTATTGTTTTATCAATCAAAATGTCCGCTTCTCATCAAAATACATAAACATTTTTAATTATTTTCGTTTAGTATCTTTCTAGATCACACTTGCCCACCGAGGATGCATAGTGGCTTAGAGGGTCACTCCAGTAGGAGTGATGCATGCTGAGCTAAGGGTCAGGGGTCAGGTGGCAGGCCAAGCTGAATCCATGCACATTTTATGCAGTGACCATCATGACTAAAAGCTTTTTTTTTTGGGGTGGGGGGGCTCTCGCTTCGGGACGCGGCACACAAATGCACAGGCAACAGAACATAGACAAGAGCTCAGACACCTCCCTGTCACACTATCTGTATATGCTACATCTGTTCCATCCACTCACTGCATGCTGCATGTATGATGTCATGTGCGCCGCACTCTCCGCCGAGGAATGATGAGCGCACACGGCAACGAGCGGTTTCCTCAAAAAGCCCACGCGCAAAGCAACCACAACCTCCTCCTCCTCCTCCTCGTGTTCGCCTTGACGACAATCAAACCAACACCTCCAACAGACTGGTCTCCTTCTCGTGCTGCCTCGGCCTCTTTTTAAAAGCTCGTTCAACTGTCCTCAGACTTGACTCTAAAGACATCTCAGACCTCACTCTCGAAACTCTCTGATTCCCTCTTGATTGATGAGTTTGCATGGGCGTGTTGCCCTGGGGTGGGGGGGGGTCCAGGTTTGGCAGGTTCCCACTGGCCGCGAACAGCTGCAACTCAGGCAGGAAGCCTGGGCTCAATCTTCAGTGAGAGATCATAGAGAGTGTCTTCATCCATGATCAGAGTCTTATCCAGGAGGTACTGGGTCACCTGGGAGGAAAACATAGATATTGGGGAGAGATATTGTAAGTTGCAGACCAGCAACGCATCGTAAAATTTAGCTCTGTTTAATTAATCTTTCAAATATTTTAGCAAATGTCTTTGCAGTCTGCTGCTAAACTATAATTTAGATCTCATAGTTTTATCATTTCTATCGTTTTCATTCTGAACCCGATTATGTTTTGGGGTTAAAGCTCTTTGTAACTATGGCTCATAGCAGCTCTGCATAGATACATTTTATCATTTATTATTCTTAAAATGTACCGCACATTCCATGATGTTCTTTTTTTTTTTTACAAATTGAAAGGCACCTCTTTTGGAAAGTAAAATATGTGTTTACAAAAAGTACCTTGGCTTGATGCTCTATTCGGTACGGAGTCTGCTGAAACTGTCGGATCTCTCTGATGATGTGGGAAATCTAAAGAAAAGGTTGGATTTACACTGACAATCAAAGTGAAAGTATACATGTAGAGATTATTTCAGTGTTGTCTTTTTATGTGTATGCCTACCATCCTCATTTTGGAGAAGTTTACAAGACCGTCCTCAGTTAAATTGGGTCTCCCCTCCTCAATGAAGGCCAGGTCAGTCTGATACATTCCCAGGTACGGCACACACGGAGGGTTGCAGCTGGAGGAAGAGAGTTTCAACCCACACTGTCTCAAGGCCGCTAGAAGCAACGCGTGTTCACCGTACGTGTAGTGCAACGTCTTACTTTTTCAGTGTCTCCCTCAGATTTTTTGACCTTCCTTCTAGAGACACGGTCTTCTGCAGTTTGTCCATGAGGGTTTTAGCCTGGACAAGATCACGATAAGTATTAAAATGATTAAGACCATGAATAAAAGATCATCTGACGACTGGATTTTTATTCATTAATTCTTCTTCATTCTTCGAGAACTCTTTAATTGAATCAATTCTGTTTACTCTTGAAAACATGACAGACATAAATTCCCTTTATTCCCGTTCTGCATGCGTAGGTGAACTCTATATACGTGTGTTTTAAGTTCACAGTGGGAGGCCTGACGGAGGGTTATTCCACCTGTTTGCTGACTTTAGCCCAGGTCTTCTTCAGGCGGTAGATGGCGCTGCGATTGAGTGCAGATGTGATCTCCAGCACTCCGTTGTAGTTGTTGATGAAGCGGCAGATGTCGGCCACTGCGACCCACTTTTCTATGGAGTTGGCCCTCGATCCCACATCGGTGTGGGTCATGATCTGTGATGCCACCAGGTTACTCATCTGCAAAACGGAGAAAAGGACAAAGGACAGATGGAGAAAAGAAGTGCGTTGATCCCACGTTGGGTAAATCACATCGTTACAGCAGTTTAATGGAGGTGCTGAGTATAAAATACTTGAAGTAGGATAAAAAAGGTAAACTATGAATAGAATAAAGTGACAACTTAGCGATTGGCATTTCACCAATTCACTGATGGCACCGGATAATTGTGTCCATGCTGCGTAGCGTAGTAAAAAATGTGTACATGTACACATACATGGACACATTGGCTCATTCAATTCAATGAGAAAGTGTGTCCAAACTCTTGACTGGTACTGTATAAATAAATATAATTGCACATACTTTATAAATGAATAATATAAGTAAAAATATTGAAAGCAAATACATCGTTGAAGTGTTGAGTAGTTTTCATGATGTATGGCGTCCTCTCTGTCTTATCCACCTTCATCCAGCCAAGTCCCAGGAACTCTCTGAGGGAATTTGGATAGAAACAATCGACTTAATATATATTCCAAGCAGAGGGTAGTAACATTACTTAATCTGATTAAACACCACCAGTAAATACAGATGTCCCATGAAGGATGTCCAGAAATCAAGAACTCAACAAGGAAAGCGAGAAATGATTATTGGATGAAACTCTTGCATCACCATCGAGCCAAAACGGCAAAACCTATTTTGCATCTAGTATTTACTATTTAAAAGACATATTCGTACTCCAAAAGAAAGCTGTGCAGCCCACCTCACCACATGAGCACAAGAAGAAGACCATTATCAAAGGATTTAATTACTGAATAATGCAAATAATCTAAAATGTAATGCAGTTGTTTCAGGTGTTTCCAAAAGCTGATCGGAGGGTAAAAACATCGAGCACGGAGTGAAGCGGTGTGCGAGAGCACTGACTCGTAGGGAATGCTCCTGAAGACGATGTGATCCAGCAGGGTGATCTGCTCGGCCAGCTCCATCGCCGACAGGGACTCGAAACACTCGGCCTTCGGACAGTCCGCCTAAACACACGGACACGCGCCCACAGAGAGAAACACCATGTTCACACCACAGCGCGGATAAGAAGGAGATATCGGCACACAGGAAAGGGACTGGCTGGATGAAGAACATGTTTGCAACAGCTGACAGCTCACAGGAGAAGTTAAGAGTTTACAGCAGCATTCCTTTTCTTTTGCTCACCATCTGTAAGATGTCCTCTATCCTCAGCTGAGCATCCTCCTGCTCGTCTTGAGAAAGGCCACTGGTAGACAGAGCGGAATAGAACAGGCTAGAACTGAATAACATAGTAGCACCAGGAAGTCAATGAATAGACAAGAATAAAACTGGATAGAATAAAACAGGAGGGACTACAATAACAGAAAATATATTATAAGTGATATGAACTCATAGAACAGAATGGAACAATATAGAACAGAATACAGCAGAATAGAAAACTCAAAATAGAGCAGAATAAAAAAATAATCTAATGGTTTAGGACAAATATAACATAAATACAGAATCGAATAAGGCGACGCTTTTATGTGAACAGAATCATAAATGGAGGAGAATTTGATGGCACAAACCTTTCAGCTTTCAAGTGTTATATTCAAGGGCTTCACCCACAAGCTGCGTGTGTGTGCGTGTGTGTGTGTGTGTGTGTGTGTGTGTGTGTGTGTGTGTGTGTGTGTGTGTGCGGGTACCTCAGTATGTTGGCAGTAGCTTTGCTCTCCTGAGGGAGCAGGTCTGGATCCCGGTGCACCTCCCCCAGGAGACAGATCACCGACGTCTTCAGCTCCCCGTTCATCTCAAAGTCCTGAACACAGACACGAGTCCGTAAAGGTTTCATCCTTTCAACGGCGACCCTGATCACACATTCTATGACCGGTCAGGATATTCTCAGGATCTTTAATTGATGGTTTGAGCCGTCTCTCTGTGAAGCGCCTGTAGTTTTTGTGACTGTTTATGTTGGCGGAGTGAAACACCGTGAAGAGGATCCGGTTGTGTTCCATCCTGGATAATCAGGCGAGAGTGAGTTTATGGATAAAATAATCAGATCTTTTATTACGTAAATGATTGACAGCAAGGCCATGGCCACCTTCGACACTATTCAAAGAGTGGTCACAGTGTACATTCATCTAGGCTCAATGTGTATTGATTGTGTCTATATTGACAGAGTTGCTCCGTATGATCCTTCATGTCTTGGACCCCCTGGGGCTCAAAGCCCCTCTTTTCCTCCTCCTCTTCCTTTCCACTGCCGCCCCCATTCAACCCTTGTTCAAAGCTCGGTGTTAACAAGCTCTCTGGTCTTTAGCCCCCCAGAGAGAAACGTACGTGGGTTCACAGAAAATGCTCTAATGTGTATATGCTTTGTTTCCTTTTGAATAACCCAACCAAAGCGGACTTATCATCACACCATTTTGTGTCATTGAAGAAAAATCCATAAAACAGATCAATGCAGTTAGAGCTCTAAGCCGAGAGTCAAGCAAGTACTGTGATATTCACTTCATTAGAGCATCGCTGGCAGTTTAGCAGAAGAGGAGGTGGACTCAGACTGGGTGTCCAATTTGCACAGCAACAATATTCAGAGTGTTTGTGTGCGCAGCGCTGTTTACATGCTGAAGTGAAAGAAGCAGCGGAGCCGAGAGGGAGAGAACGCGTCAGACACCTGCTTTAATGAGACCACAGACCTGATCAGACCAGCAAAACAGGGGAGCGCACACACACACACACACACACACACACACACACGCACACACACACACACACACACACACACACACACACACACACACACACACGCACACTGGTGGGCGCAGACAGACCTGTGAGTGTTTGGAAACCCAGTGGCGCAGCACGTTGAGGACTCTGTTGGTTGCAGCTCTTCGGATGATGAACTCTTTATCACAAGTTCTTTCAGAGTTAGTGAACACTGGAGGGAACATTTAAAGATTTACAAAAGGGGGAAAGAGAGACAAACAGAACGTGTTGTGATGGCGTAACATTTTTGTTACAACTGTATTTACTAACCAAATAAAAATAACTTAAGACGTACCGTGTTTCCATATAACAACTACGGCTCACAGATTACTGTAAGTAACACAATTAACTCACTATACTTCCTTTCAAAACCGGATACCTTTAAGGCCTTTCTACATTCATATTTAAGTACTAGAAACAGTAATTTTTTCTGAGCGATTTACAGAATGTGTGTGTGTGTGTGTGTGTGTGTGTGTGTGTGTGTGTGTGTGTGTGTGTGTGTGTGTGTGTGTACCTGGTGGTGAACCATGTCCTGCTGCTGCTGTGGCAATTGCAAAGGCTGAAGCAGGAGAGACTGGGCAGCGGGAGTTATCTCCTGACTGAACTGCAGTTCAAACACATAATTATCATCCAATGCGCCTCGTAATCATTGAAAGGAGTCAACCCGAGTGAATGCAGTGTTCTTTCATTCAGACACACAGAACGAAATAAGAAACACTGCACATCTCAGGCTGTGCGTAAGCAGCAGGCCAAATGTGAAGGCTGTGACCACATTTCAAACGAGTCATTTGTACTCAGAGAAGGTATTCTGAAAAAAAGACACACACACACAGCAGTACCTCCAGGCGGCCTGTAGCGGAGGTGTCGCGGGGTGGAAGGTGAGCGGCACGGAGACATGTCTCCCGCTTCACTGCTCTGAGGAGACTCCGGGATGATCTTCTCCAGTGACACTGACTTGAGCAGAGCTGGACGGGAGGAGAGGAATGGGCCGAGAATACAGATGATTATGATGATGGTGACGATGATGGGAACGATAATGGCGGCGATCATGTTTATGGTCATGGTGGCGTCCACCACTGCAGCTGCTCTTGTGGAGAGGAATGTCGCTTTAGTTCACAGCCATGCAGAGGTTGACCAGCGGATGGCATCTGAATGTAAGAGCTGTATTATTGCTCTGCACGATTTCTACATGAGTGAGCAAGTCAATGTTTGAGTCAGTGTTCTGTAGGACCGGTTAGACGCCCCGAGGTAGAACCAGGTTGTTTATCTCATCTGGTCCTGCGCAAAGAGCTTAAAAACGTTGAAAGACATCTAGAACATCCTGCTTAGCCGGCCGCCACGGCAACCCAGTCCCGACTTAGCCGATGAAAACGGGTTGACAGAAACCCACCACAGGTGTACAATTGGGTTTAGATCTTGTAACGGCGAAGGTCACGGCAAACGGTATGTTTTCACGCTGATCAAACCATTCAGGTTTGTTGTCATGGAAACGTCTACATTCAATATGTTTTGGTATCAAGCTGAATGACAGTACCGGATTACCGTGGAGCTCTGCGCTAAATGCTGTTGTGCCTCCTGGTGCTTTGCTTTGGAGATAATGTTGTTTCAGTCAAATGAATTTCATTTGGATGAAACTTTAAACAAAACGCCGTGATAAGTTAAGAATGTCACACTGCCAGTTTGTTGGCCAAGGGAACGGGTTGGATGAAAAGACAAAAAGGAAGATTTGCACATAGACCCATGTTTCCCTAGCAGGGGGCACACTGGAACTACAGGGAGGGAACTTCATCACCAACACACACACACACACACAAACACATCGACACAATGCGAGAGACACATGGAAAGAGAAAAAGATGAGAGAAACCACTGCGCTAATGGCTCTTTGTCTCCTAGTGAGCAGCTTCCACATATGCCCAATATGTCGGGACTCGGCTTAACTAACTAAAGCGCACGTGCGCAAGTAGAAAACGATGTTTTGCCAGTTCGGCTCTCACCGGGAACACTGTGCCATTTTTTGGGGGAGTGACCTCCGGCCCTTCGTGAGCAGACCCGATGTTCTGCATAAGGTATGAATGTCGTTTGCACCTCATCCGCGTGGAAGCGGCAACTCACCTCTGCGGATGCTCCGTCTCAGTTTGCCGGAGAAAGGATCCATCCTGAGCACGTCCTCCCCCTCTGCAGCGGCGTAGGGACTTTGGTCCGGGGAGGAGGGAATAGAAGGAACCTGGTCCTTTGAGTTGTTGGGTGGGGGAGAGGTGAGGAGGGAGGGAGGAGTTCGGGGGTGTAGGCAGAGGTGGGGCTGCTGGCAGCGGACTGGGAAGTGTTATGGTTGACGCTGGAGTTGGACAGAGGACTGGTCAGGTCCAGCCCTCCGACCCTGGCGGTGATGGGGGAGTGGAGGGAAAGCTTTCGAGTTCGGACGGGGGAGGAGGTGCTGGACAGGCTGGACAGAGGAGGAGGAGAGGAGAACTTGCGGCAGAGACGAGGGGATTTGTCGTTTATGTGCTCGCCACCTCGGTTGTTCTGGTTGGTGGCAAAGAACAGCTCCAGGGACCTGAGTGGGCAAAGTCATTTGTTATACAAAAAACGTGTTATAAAAGAACGTTTTAGTTTGTCAGTGTGCACTGAGATGTTAAAGTTTCCATAACAAAGTCGCCGTCAGACAGTTTTCCTGCATCACAGAGCTAAATGTCATCCACTGTGGCTCATAATGGGCCGTTAGAAATGAGTACAACAGTGACACAATATGTATTGAGTTGTGTCTGTACTCCAGCAGACTGGCTCGGACACAAACACACGACTTTAAGCTTTAATCAAAAGGTGAACAGCCAATGCATTTTATCACTGTGTACACACAACGTCAAGCTGCTCTATTTGTTACTTTTAAAGATTTAAAAGTAGGTATGTAAACACCCTCCAAAAACCTTTAAATGAAAGATAGGGAGTGCGAGTAGTAATTTGCCTTAAACAGGAACATAAAAGTCGACAAAAAAATATTTGCGTCATAGATTAGAATTAAAAAATGCATTCCCCTTTTATTGCGGATTATATTTGCCTTATTTACCAGGGAACGAGTGAGCAACAGCTTTAATCAACAAGCCTTTCAGGATGACAATAACATTGCTCAGAGGCGTGCGCACAGAGCCGCATCAAGGGAGGAGCAATCATGCACAGATAAACACATCCATCATTTACTCGCACAAATCAGTTATTAAGTAAGAGATAGTGAAACAAATGTGCATCCCTGATCGAGAGAGGAGGGGGGAGGGATGAGAGGCAGATTGAAGAAGGAAAAATGCATGAAAACGAGACGAGAGAACTTTGAAGCAAGCGGTGGAAGATGCTTGAGATAAGATAAGATATAAAGCAGACCCGAGAGTGGCTCAATGTGATTGGCCGAGAGAAAACACAGCCTTGAAGAAGCGATGCACCCGTGATAGAAAACATGCAACAGAAACACTTTTCCTTTCAAATTCCCGTCTATCATCAATCTAAAACCGGTGAGACTACAAAGCCCGGCGAGTTGTTTCATTCACAATCAAGCGTTAGATAGCAGCTAGATTCAAAGTAAAGGGGAACGTCATGCAGTGACGTGTCGGACCAAGACTAGAGGAGAGGAAGACCAGGCAGGTAAAGTTGGAAAGAGGGAAAAAAAACAAAGCAGGAAAGACAGAGAAGAGTCAGTTACTTGGACTGATCCATGGCTATCCTCTTGATCTTCAGACTGTAGTCAGGAGAGATGGATGAGATAGACAGACGGTTAAATGAGTGGTACTGCGCCCTGTAGTAAGAGGGGACATGAAGAGACAGGGGGACGGATGACACGGGATGACGGGGATGGTTGGATTAAGACACGAAAAATGGCAAAAGCAGAGGATGTGAGAAGATGGTAGGAGGGGAGAGGATGGAGGGATGCTGGATGCAAAGGTGTTGCTGAGGAGGGGAGGGTGTCTGTGAGAGAACAGCAGCAGATGTTCACTCTGCGAGACTCATGGGAACGGATCCAGCACAGAACCGATGCAGGGAGTCTGTGTTTTTTTAGTTTCTGTCTGGATATGACAAAAATGAAACTAATTTATCAATAATTCTGACAATAATATGGAAGATACTTGTGAGAGTGCCATGAAATATAAATGCACAAGGTTAAAACAAGATCGAGTGGCGATGCTTGGGGCATAACGGGGCTTTGAGCTTAATGCTGACATGCACGTTTAATAGGCACAATGTTCATTATCTTAGTTTAGCGCACGCTAAAATGTAATAGCATCAACTTTTAAACACAAAGTGGGAATGTTATTGGTGTGTAATCTGTTTGGACTTTAACTTGGTAAAATCTAAAAGGTTTTGACCTGATTTGTATGTGTTTGTATTTGAACCTGCACGCCTCCGCTCCCTGGATGAGTCTGTTCTCTTCCAGTGAAGCCCTGGTGAGTTAGGCTTTACATACACACCTGACATAAGGCAGCGGAGAAAAAAGGGCTTTTCCAATTTAAAAGGTACATTAAGTGAGGTCCAGAAAGAATAATTACACAATTATGACGCAGCCAGATACGTAAATGGGGGGAGAGAGAGCATGAATACAGCTGAGAGAGAGAGAGAGAGAGAGCAACTCCTCATCTGACATACACAAGCAACTTTTCCTTCTCTGTGAATGTGTATTTGTGTGTTTGCAATGTATAACCTGATAGGTATGGAGGAGAAGGGCTTCTTGTAGATGTCGGCCAGTTTGCCCATGACCACCGTTGCCGTGGTGAACATCCTGTATGTGTGCAGAAAGGTGTTGAGGAAGTCTATGGAGAGGAAGCGCAGGTCGGTCAGCCTCTCGAGGAGCCGCTCCACGCTGGCGTAGCGGATTTGGGGGACCTTGCAGGAGTTGAGCGTCTTGCTGAAGCAAATGTCAACATCATCTTTATGGAGACGCACATCGGATCTGATGGACACACACGTACACACATACACGCACACACACGCACACGCACAACCGAGCATGGGTGACTGTTGAGCTGCTAACCAAGGAAAAGGCAATGAACGTAACGGAGCCAAACCAGCAGAAGTGAAAAAGATAAATGCAAAAAATCCACATATTCCAAAAAAGGAAGCTAAAAATAAGAGTGGATATTAAAGAACACTTTTGAGCAGGATGAATATAAAAAAACACGATACAAAGTCTAACACTTTACAGTACATCAACACAACTACCTGTAATACTACAACAAGTATTTTACGACACTGGCATTAGGGGGCGTTTGCGCTTCTTCTCGCACGGACACACTTACTTGATCATATTGGGCACGGTGACTTTAGAGTTCTCCTCAAACACACTGGTCATCAGGCCATTACAGCGGATATTATCTATGCACTACGGAGACAAAGGGACGATGAGTACGGTGAGAATAAAGGGACGTTGTGACAGCATGACGTGGAAAGGTATTTTCACAATTAGTCAACATTTAGAATTTAAAGCAGATGATGGACAGAGTCTGTAACATCATAAAACATGTCAGAGATTATCTTTAGCTTTTTTGTTTATCTGAATTATACAGCGTTTTTATATCTGGTTGAAAAGGAATTGAAGAAAAAAAAGAACATTTAAAGCGGTCAGTGTGTTATTTTCTCAGATTAAAACCATCCAGTGTGACGTGCATGGTGCTCCTCTGTTTTTGAGCTGAACTGGCCGCTGGGGAACTGCACCCATGTCTGTGTTTACTCATCACTAAGCCTTCTCAATGCCCAGTGGACACTCGCTTTCTCTATTAGGAGGATCTTGTTATTCTGCGTCGGTGCAGGTGTGTGTTTGTGCATTACCTGGCTAATGTCACTGGTCCATGCCGCCTTCTCCTGCCGTGAGGGAGCCAGTAACACCACAGTGAAGGGAGGCAAGTCCGAAGGCTCTACTACGAGCTTAAAGTCCAGCTGGCCGAACACCTGACCTCCAGCTTTAGCTGTGCAACAGAGAGAAATTATGATAATAGCGTCTCGGCACTTCTCCCCATTCGCAAAATGAGTGCTCAGAAGAAGATGGGGTAAAGGTCATCGGATGTCACGAGATCAAAACCCGACATTTAAAGGGGTGAGCATCTGATATTTAGATAAGTCATTTCTGAGTTATCACCTGACATCTAATTAACCCCCATGAGTGGTAAAGGGCCAAAAGGAGCCATCAGACACAGTGCATCATGGATGTAGATCAACTTACACTCTTCATCGCTGGCATCTGGTTCCTCTATGAGTGTGCAGTCAATCAGGGACAAAACTCCACCTTGCTGCGAGAGTTTAATGACACATTTGGAAACGGTTTAGTTAAGTTGATATGAATTAAAAAGTAGATTCGTGCTCTAAAATTGACTCCCACCTTGAGAAGGTGCAGTTTTCCCCCAGAGCTGCGTGTGCAGACGAGGAAGTGTTTGGTGAAGAGGAAGCACTGGCGTTCCCCTTCCTTCTTCAGAGACAGAGCCCCCAGGCGGACCTTGCTTAGCTTTCCTCGCTCCACCGACGGCAACTGGATCAGAGAGCCTGAGGATGAGGAGGCGCACGGGATTACACGGGGGGGGAGGGGGGGACTATTGGACTAGTGCCTTCATTGGACTGGATTGGACAACCACATGTTGCAAAAAGTTATTGCTGATAATTATAAAACAATGTATTAGTATTACATTTGAGATCAAGAAAGGCCACGTTTTGTTGGATTAGGCAGTCGGTCGGCACCGTGACTGCAGGCATTAGCACACACACGTTTATGCAGCTAATCTCTTTATTTTACCAGTAAGAAAATGAGAACTTGTAAAGTCTTAAAATCTACAAATTTGCATTACATTACATTGATTTTACATTTTTGACAAAGCAATTTATAACAGCAAAATGTGTCCTGAAAGTGGAGACAGGACTGTAAGTACTTATTGGTTTAATCGGACAGTCTCATGTTGAAAAATAGCAAAAAATGTACAACGATAAGCAACATAAGTGTCATATTTTAAGAACGGTTTTGAAATAATTCCTCAGGAATATCATCTGACTTTAAGTCATGCGAGTAGTTACCAAACCTCAGAATAAAGACTTTGAGACGATGGAGAGGAGAATCCTCTCATTTTCACTGGGCCAGCTGACCCAGTGACACACTGTCCACGATTCAATGACCAAAGTACTGTGCCTGTGCCCTCAGATCACAGGCTGACACTTGCAGGAAAAGCATCCCGAGCTCTGCTGCCTGCTGTGCAACGCCCTGCAGCTGACGAAGACCTACCCTGCCTGACGAAGGTCTGGCTGGTGTCCAGCAGGATGTCGCAGCCCTCCACGATCATCCGCTCTATGGCCAGGTTCTTCCGGATGTTCTCCGTGTCGCTCACCTCGTCGTGCATCACTCTGATCACACACACACACACACACACACACACACACACACACACACACACACACGTCATTTCAGTGTTCAATATCAAAATGTTTCAGGAAAGTTGATCATTCTGACCACTGTTCATGTACCTGGACAGTTCTTCTAATTTGGATTTGGCGAATTCAAGACTCTTTCGTTCCACGTGCTCATGAGGCGTGTGTGCCAATAACTCGTGCAAGGTGATGATGTAGCGGGGAATCTTGTAGGAGAGAACAGCAACGTGTCAAAAAAGCTAATTGAAAAACCAAATGAATTATAAAAAAAGAACGCAGAGCTTTGTACTTGTGTTTGAATGTTCGTGAAAGGTCTACCTGGAACATCGGGTATGTGAGGAAGGTCTCAAGCATCCTTCCCTCACAGGCGGCGTTAGACTCGTACTGTTTCAGCAGCTTGTCAAAGTCTCTGTTCTGCTTACAGTTGGCCAAAACCTGCAGGCTGTACTGATGGTTACGCACAAACTCCTGGTAGATGTTCAGCATGGGCAGCAGGATGTCAAATAGGTCAGCTGTGATCAAAAAACACAAACACAACCCGAATCAAAAAAATTAAAAGTAGTTTATTTTCCCGTCATCGATTCGACCGACCTTAAAAAGCCAAAGTTTAAATAGCGCGTTGCACCTGGGTGACACACGTGTGGTTATGGTGTGGTTTGTTTTGAAGGTGTGTAAACACTGCTCTGTGGCAAGTTTATATTAGTCAACTAAATCCGACCACACGATCAAATGAGACTTTGAGGCAGACTGATGTGTTTATAAGATAAGATTATCCTTTAGTACTCAAGCAGCGGGATGCATCTGCAGCCTTCAGTGCAGCGTCGGAGTGCTCACTGAGTTTACCTTCATTAAATCACCAGAAAATAACAAGCTGCTACAGTATACCAGTATAAAGATGCACAGATAAGCTCATGTTTTGGCCTTGAAACACATTGCAGTGCAAACGCTGTTGTGCAAAAATGAAATACAGAGATGTATTGTATATATATGTAGTTTTCACTCTGTATATATCCCCGCACACGAGCGTGTGCGTGTATATATATATATATATATATATATATATATATATATATATATATATATATATATATATATATATATATATATATATATATATATATGCTGTATGTTGTATTGGATGGTGCGTATTTTAATGGCCATACTAAAACGAATAAAAAGGAATGGAAATACTACAGAAACAAATATGATGTACACGAAAAAACATCTTGTTGAATCGCTCCACATCCACAAACATCTTGTGTGAAGTGAAGCATAGCGTCAGATAGGAGTTTAATCAGTCTGACCTTTTTCTTTTCATTAGTAATTTGCTGCGGCGTCTTTGGGCAGTCTGTCACCCAGGTGACGCTTATCTGTCGAGGAGGCTTCTGATTTGGGAGGTCAATTGAAGGGATGCCGTATGGGATGGGTAGTCATTGTCCGTCGAGACAAGGAGTGTGCTTGTTGTAGACCGAGATAGGTCACTGAGAGTGCGTGTCTGTGTGTGTGTGTGTGTGTGTGCGTGCACGTATGCGGCAGGAAGATGTCTGACGTTTGAATAGCACTAACTGGACCACTGAAAAACCGACCTCGTCGTCACTTGTGTGCGCGAGGAGCAGCTTACCCAGCACCAGAGTCGGCCAGTTGGCAATCCTCGCCTTCAAGCCCTGGTGGAAAATCTCATGTAGGAACATGATGGTTTCACTGGAGCGTGAATGCAAAAAGAGACAAAAAGAGATTTTATTGTTTATTCCACTTTCTTTGTAATCCTCAGCACCTTTCTCCTCTCTCCATCATAACCAACACACCTATTGAGGAAGATGCTGCTGACGTCGTCGTGGCTGATGGGGGGCTTCTTGGAGCTGGCTGCCATCCGCAGAGGTCGGAGGAAACAGTTGACCAGGATGTAGAGCTGGTGGACGTACCTGGCACCACACACACAAGTTTCTAGAAATGTCATTTTATCTTCAAAACACATACATGAAGAAGACATTTTTTATATTCAATTGTAGGGTTCACTAAAAATGTTCTCTCACGGTTCAATTTTCAATCAAGTCACTTCAATCAGGTTTTCTATTTTTCCGAACTGAGATAATAGATGATGGTCGCCATTCACATACACACATCACATCTCCTTTGGTGGGAAAGTACCTTACTAACGTAGGACCTGCAAGATAAGATGTTTCATCCATGGAAACATGTTGGTTTTTACTCTAACCAGGAGTAGCACATATGTGTAAACTCGTCTAGCTTAGTGCATAAAGTTGCACAGCACTTATTAATAAATATCATGATATAAAACTGTTTTGGGAAGGTTCTATTGAAAACCATTGCAAGTCTGTTGTGACTTGCTGCAAAGATAAGACATCCTTTTTCCATCCTGCCGCAGGGAAATTCACAGGATTACAGCAACAAAAGTAAAGTGCACGCAGGACACTTAGTATAAACGGAGCTCAAAACAATCTCGAAATACGCAACAACACAATTACATGGAATCCAAAAGCGTCACCCATAATAACAATTTCTAGAGGTGTGCTCTACTCTACTTGACTATTGACATACTCTGTTTCTGCCTCCACCATGTTGAAGACGATCTGGTTCCTCTTCTTCATGCTCTCGGCGTGAGGAGAGCAGATGTAGTCCTGCACGATGATCTTCCACTTCCTCCGACAGAGCCAGCCCCTCATGAAACTCTGCACCTGAAGACACACCACCCAGGGAGCTTAGACACGGCCATGCACGCGGAGATCACACACACACGCTTGCAGGGAAAAAACAGGAAAGACACCACGGAAGCCTGGATACAGAAGAGAAAAACATGACAAAAACTAGTAGGAAAATGTACCTTTTTGATCTTTTTGATGTCCGGGTCTTCATTTTCATGGTTGACCTGGTAAGGCCGCATTCGCTCCTTAGTTTTGTTCAGAGCAATAATCTTTCAAGAGAAATTCAGTCACAAAACAAATTAGCATTATGTGGGGGACTAGTGAGCGGGACAAAAGAAACATTCAACTTAACCAAATCACATCAAACAGAAAGAATGAGCTTCTGAGAATGTTAAGGAAATAATACGGTATAATTTATGAGGACATTATATTCAATAATGGTAAAATGATTCATTTGATTCACCATGTTTTCCACCAACCAAGCAGTTTGTGCACAGGCTTCTTTATCTTTGACGATTTAGTGGCGTCATTGAGAAAGAGAGAATGACAGAGGAGGGCTGCTATCAGCAGGTGACAGAAAGCAAACAGGGGCTTAGATGTGCCTGATTACCAGCAGTGTATTGTGGGGCACAGCAGGCACAGGCGACAATCCTACCTCTGCAAATAAATGTATTCCAAGCACAAAATCTATGTAAACCACCCTATTGCATATTTTAAAGATCAAGACGATTTCATTTGAAGAGTTCTATTATTATCTTTACAGCCACAAATACTCTGCAGACTCAGATTAGCCTTTAGACGTGTGACATTTAATCGCTGCAGGTGCAAAAAGTCAGTGGAAAATGTTTTGTATGTTAACGGAATTTAATCAAGATGTGGAAGAAAAACGTCTCAATTCATATAGTAAACCTAATAATAAAAAGCCACATTTCCCTCACTATCAACATCTCTTTCACTATCTTTGGTAAATCAATTAACCCAACAGAAGGTTTTTTCTTGTACTATAGTACGTTCACCTATTTGATTGTACTCTCGGGCCTGTGTGACGACACAGATAGAGAAAAGCATGAATGATGAAACCAAAACCATCTCAAGTCGTACTCATGTTCTCGTTCGCCAGCGCTCAGGGCCAGTCGGCTAACTGCTACAGTCGCTAGTTGGTTTCCTTATTCATAAACACACACATAAACAAACAAACAAGAGTGTGTTTTAATGAGATGCATCAACAACTGCATACTGTAACCCTTTTTGAATGAGCAGCCCAATTAACCAGGCAGATGTTTGCTGATATAAAAGCCTTTTCGTTAACATTTTCATTATCAACGTGGCTCTTTGTATCCTTTGTAATCACAATGTGCAGCACGGAAAAGAATCGACACTTGTTGCTCTGAGTGAGAATTTAAAAAAGCAGTGTGACAGGCTAATCCATTACGCATAAGAAATGGCCAATACAAGCGAGATATTTAGAAAGGGCACCTATAAACGAGACAGGATTGTGAGTGGCGGTGGTTTTACGGAGATGTTAGCAGCTGGTCCAATGAGCAACCAGCTTCCCTCGGGGGCAAACTGTTGCACAGGCCAGAATTCAATTTCAATCAAGCACCTGTACATTAAGAACAACTCTGAAGTGCCCTTTGGCCGCCAATGTGGCACATAGACAACGCGTCTTATCTCAGACGCTTAATGATCTTCAAAATCACAGGATTTGGATGGATGGATAGATGGATTTATAGAGTGATAAATAGATGTATAGATAGATTGATAGTGATGAATAGATGGACAGATAGATTGATAAATAGAGTGATAGATGGATTGATAAGAGTGATACATAGATGGACAGATGGATTGATAGTGATAAATAGATGGACAGCTGGATTGATAGAGTGATAAATAGATTGATAGAGTGATAGATAGATGGATATAGTGATAGATAGATGGATAGAGTGATAGATATAGTGATAGATGGATTTATAGAGTGATAAATAGATGGACAGATGGATTGATAGAGTGATACATAGATTGATAGAGTGATAGATAGATGGATAGAGTGATAGATAGATGGATAGAGTGATAGATAGTGATAGATGGATTTATAGAGTGATAGATGGATTGATACAGTGATAAATAGATGGACAGATGGATTGATAGAGTGATAAATAGATGGATAGAGTGATAGATAGATGGATAGAGTGATAGATGGATTGATAGAGTGATAGATAGATGGATAGATTGATTTATAGAGTGATAGATGGATTGATAGAGTGATAGATAGATGGATAGATTGATTTATAGAGTGATAGATGGATTGATAGAGTGATAGATAGATGGATTTATAGAGTGATAGATGGATTGATAGAGTGATAGATAGATGGATTTATAGAGTGATAGATGGATTGATAGAGTGATAGATGGATTGATAGAGTGATAGATAGATGGATTTATAGAGTGATAGATGGATTGATAGAGTGATAGATGGATTGATAGAGTGATAGATAGATGGATTGATAGAGTGATAGATGGATTTATAGAGTGATAGATGGATTGATAGAGTGATAGATAGATGGATTGATAGAGTGATAAATAGATGGATAGATGGATTGATAGAGTGATAAATAGATGGACAGATGGATTGATAGAGTGATAAATAGTATAGATATATATAGTAATAAATATAGTACACTTCAATGATCAGAGCTATTGATCTAATGACCATAAATCTAAAATCACATGCAGTCGTTTGCGTGTGTGACATAATTGTAGGTGGTTCTCATTCACGTCGTGGGGTCTCTTGTGTTGGTGCTGCGCTCGATGAGCGCATCGTGTTTTGGCAGCTGTTCGGCGAGGAAGCTGTGGGCTTCTCCTCCTACGCTCCGAGGTGAATGGGCACCGTTCACACCCACTCCCACGCTGCAATACACGCAGCTGTGAGAGGACGCACACACTGCATACCCATTCGGAAATATATAGATATAGATATATAGAGATATTGGTCTGCTGTGGCAGGTGAGTGGCGCACATCCGTTTACAAATGCATTGTGTTTGAATTGAAATGGCACATGGAGAAGGAGAAAAGGGGCTTTCGGGTCTGTAGGTGTGTATTTTGGCTCGTCACCTCCGCTTTGAGCCTCTCGATTTCTGTGCCCTGATCTTCCAGCTGGGTGCGCAGTTGATTTGCAGCCACCTTCTCAGTCTCCACAATGTGTGCAAGGTGGATGTATTTCTGCATCAGCGCCTCTCGGTCATTGATGATTTCAGAGTAACTGAGGAAGACAAAGACAAGTCCACTCATATCAGTTATAATAAGCACTTATATTATACACACAATATTAAGTATTTGTTGGGGTCCTTATGCAACACAACATTTACTGCCAAAGTTACAGTGCATTCATCTGCTTTGAATCACTGCGTGATGCCAGTTGTGGGACTGTTTGGTTTCATAGCTTCGTCTGTATGGTTGATTCAAGGTGAAAATGTCTCACTGATTCTGTCTTTCATTGACACAGATCCAAGGTGCAGCTGTGGGGAGCAGAGTGGTCGATTTGGGGACCTCAGAATTGAGTGAACTATATTGCCAGCGGACTATAATCCCTGAGGGGTAAAGGCATTGAACAAATCAAAAAGTGAATGTGCCAGAATTTCAGTCAATTAAACAAAGATGAAACTGAAGTCATTGTTTTCGGGGCCAAGAACGAAGGATTGAAAGTCAGCGAGCAGTAGACTGGACTATTGTCCCGCTGTGAGCTCCTTACAGAGACCTGCTACAAAGAGTTTACTTGCAAATGTTACTGTTGGTTTATGAGGCCCTGAATTACATGTCTGACCTGCTGCTACTTTATGAACCATCCCGACCCCTCCGGTCGTCTGGGACGGGTCTCTTTAATGTTCCCGGAGTCACAACATGCAGAAGCAGCTTCAGTCTTTCTGCTCAAAGTATCTGGAACAAACTCTCAGAAAGCTGCAGTTCTGCTGAGACTCTAAAGTCAAAGCTTCAAATTTAGACTGAAGACTTTTCTGTTTGCTGCTGCCGTTAATTCCACAAGATTCAAGGAATCATTTTGGTTCTACAGGGTTTCATCGTCTCTCTGCTGAAACAAATCATTCAAACTTGTTCCCCACTAGTTCTATCGCACTTAAATGGAGTTTCCTCTTGCACAGTGGGGACTATTATTACATTTGATGTCTTCACACCTTCCTTTGAATTAGCCTGGTAATTGGCCAGTTCTGACGTTAACAGGATCTGACACGAAGAGGCTCGTGGTCCTTGTTGTTCTGAGCAGCTTCACATTCTAACCAGGCTGATTCTGGTTAGTTTTTGCTTCAGCGTGAAAATAACAACGGAGGCCTGCCGTTCGTTCACCACGTGGCCCATCCGGAGTTTTACACTCTTTGCAAGTAGATCAAATCCTCCAACTGCCTTTGGATTAGTGGACGGTAGGAAACGAGGTGCAAAAGCTGAAGGATTATTTGTACACAATGAAAAAACAGTACAGGCACAATCGTGTGGTCAAACTGTGGTCATGCAGTCCGGCGTCATGTTTCCTGCTGTACACGTGTGTACCTTGCCTGCCCGATGGCCTCCACCCATTCATCGCACTCGCTCTCCTCATCCGTCCGCAGCTCCAGAGGCTTCTGTCCATTTTGACCAATCAGCACGATGTGGAAGTAGTACTGAAGAGAGAGAGAGAAATGAAGAGAGAAAAAAAAAAGGCCGTTTACATTTGTGACCCCGACACGCCAACACATCTACAACTCTCCCCCTCGCTTGTGCCAACATTTCACTTCACGGCACAAGATGCTTTGGTCGAGACGCGAGACGCAGCGATCCGACATACGGCGCGTGCATATGGAAACGGGGCTCTCCACTGCAGTTGATTTTCACGCTCGTTTTCGTGCCCAGATTCATCCCGTCTGAAGTTGCACAGACCTTTAGACGGGCGGAGTGTCTGTTATCATCGTGGTCAAGTGCCCCCTCCCCGCCCCTCTCTCTTCCTCATCTGCTGTCTGTCCTGTTTATTAATTCTGATGAGCATCCCTCCTCCAAATGCTCGTCCCCGTCCACTCACAGTGGAGCACACACACGCACACGCACACACACACACACACACACACACACACACACACACACACACACACACACACACACACCAGGCATTATGTGATGCGATGGAGGGTTTTATTCAAACGGTCATGTCCCGGGGCACTGGGTTACCAGAAGAGCTTCTATTCTTAGTGAGAAAAGACTGAGCTCCATGCTCCTCCTCCTCCTCTCTTCTCCTCATCCAACCACCTCGCTCTTCCCGCGCTCTCCCGTTTCTCTCTCCCTCTCTCTGCACTTCACCTCCTCGTCCCCCTCCGCCTCCTCCGCCCTGCTCGAATAGCATCCTCACTTCTCTCTCCCCACACCCACTCCTCCTCCATCCCAACCTCCCTCCATGCTCTCTTTGTGTCTCTAAGGGTTCGGTGGACCAAACAGGAGAGACGTTTAGCCTGCAGGAGGGGGGGGGGGGGGGGGGGGGGGAGCTTCAGCCCCTGGAGGGGAGAGAGTCCCCAAGGGGACGGGAAAACACACGCCCGCCCTCCAAAACCTTCCTCCATCGCCATCCGCGTATCCCTGCCATATCTGTCGCTTCGATTGGGTGGATTTCATGACATCCACAATCATGTGTGCTCTAACAGCCTCTGACAGAGAGAAGAGAGAGCGAGCGGTTGCATAATATTTCTTACATATTTCCGAAATTGTGTCACCGCCTGACAAGATAACATTTCCATGGCAACGCTAAACTTGACGTGTCAACCTGGTGGTCATTTTGTTTGTTTTTTGTTTTTTTTACCACTGGCTCACTTCCTTTAATGCTTTTATTGAAAAATCTTTTTATTTTAGATGACTGGGAAGCAGCATTAAGTAGTGAAAGTGAACATATTTTTGCAATTCTGAGATCCAGATGGATATTTTGAGCCTCAGCGTTCTGCACATTTCAGGCAACAGAAGTGATGCAGTGACACATTATATGTCTGGATTTACAATAGATCTGACTTTTACAACCCTATTAAAGTGTGGGCATTGATCCACATGATTCTTTTGATCACACGGATGTCACTGGCAGTGTTATCACACGGGAATGAAATGAAAGGGAATACTGCTTTCCTCCTATTTCAGGCGCAATGGTTGCAGTAGCATGTGTGTGTTAAGTGTATTCTTTATACATATCTACTTAATAAAAATAACTAAAGTAGAAGTAGTTGTTACGAAGACTGGCTGACCGTAGCATTGTAATATTTACTTAGTAGTACTGAAGCATTGAAACGTAAGTAAAAAGCAAATATTAGTGTTTGAATCTCTGTTTCGTACGTCAGCTCAAAAAAAAGACAAAGAAACGGAAGGCAAAGGTGGACTTAAAAGTTCAAATACAATTCCTTCCTCATGAAATATTTGAAATGGTTTGTTAGATTTCTCCGATGCACAGTGTGTTTTGGAAAGTTTACGTTGTTTGTTTAAAAGAAAGAAAATCCCCATTGAATGTCCCGTCATTATATAAACGCTTAAAGTCCTCAATTTGTATCTTTAAATGAACCCATTTGGCATTATAATCTTATCCCACTTGTATATCGACGTTCTGTTGAACCCCCTCTGTACACTCCTACTGTTGGATGCAGCGGTGACCCAATTGGCCACAGGCAGCAATTCAAGTTTAATGCTATCACTTCCTTTATTGCAAATCAGACGTCTTCGCTGGACCTCATTGCATTGAGGACATTAACAATGCAGAGCAAAGACACACATTGTGAAACGCTCCTGTGTGCTCGTGAGTCCAGGAACAACGGTGCGTCTCTTTCTCTGAGCTCTGCACGCGCAGCTTCCTCCACAACTCTGCAGCTCCGTTGAGGAATACTCACTCGCGCTCCCTTCAAATCAGATCAACTGTGCTCCGCGTCCCTCGGGGGCCTCCGCTGTACTGTAAGACATTTCATTCAAACCAATAATGGCAGAGAGGGAAAAGCAAAAGAAACAAATAAGGAGAGACTCTCTCATTCTCTTCACGTCATCACTTAAAATGCCAGGTTGAGAGAACATGTGTAAGACTGCTTTTCACTACCAGAGAGAGACGGAACGTTAGGAAATTGAATTAAATTAAAACCAACCACACACACTGTGGTTCACGGTGGCGCTTTGATGAAATATTATTTCTTTATTAAGGATTAAAGAGTCAAAGATGAAACCGGATATGGAGGTAATGGGCTCATCATGCAAATGATGGCACGGGGATCCAGAAGTACTAATGTGCTGTAAATGTTTAAAAGCAGAGACGGTCCTCTGATGATTCGGGGAGTGGAAGAGCAACTAGCGACTGATGATAGAAGCAGAACTGCTGTCGTCTTTGTGTCCTGCACTGGACCTGGTTTATTTTTTATTCTAAGCCTTTTAGTGGCGTTTGACTGCTTTACTGTTCTTCACTTCAGTGGGTTGATAGAAGCACGAATGCCGAAAGTGTCGAAGATTTGAAATGTGTACACGCAGAGTACTAAAAGTCTGAATAACAATGAATAAATGTACATTTACACGGAGCATTGTGGAACAACCCCATATATAATCACAAAGGTTAAATACTTCTCCTAATATTTTTCACGTGGACGAATGAATGGTAGAATATGATTTTACCAGTGAGTGTACCAGGGCTTCATGTTTTAAAGATGAGTTGTATGAATTCATCAGATTTAACAGAGTTTGAATTTAATGTTCTCAATGCTTTGTTTTTGTTGAGTGTTAATGGGGCTCCATCATTCATTATTATATATCTTAGACAAAAATAATGCTTTAAAAGGTTCCCAGTGTCTTCCATTATCATATCTTACTTTAACAAATAAAAACAAATAGAAACGGTCGTGGGCAAATGGTCAACCGAGACGCATTAAAAGTGTACATGATTTGGGTAAACAGTAAAGCTGCAGACCTCTGGCATCGTTATTTAAATACAAGCATGAAAAATAATTGAGAGCAATGTTATAAACAGATAACAGCCCAATGCGGGAATTCTGTTGTCTCCCAGCAGCCAAGTGGGTCTGGAAAATATATCACGGCGTTGCTGCCTCAACTCAATGTAAGCTTATGTTAAAAAGCAACTGTTCAAGGAGGGCTCTGCCACCATTGACCATAAACACTGCAAGTATGCGGTTTACGGTTTTAAACCAGTGCTGCAGGGAAAACCAATCACACGTCGGTTGATAGTATGTTCTTCGTCATGTGTGTATGCATTTCACACGCGACATGATTTGGGGTCTTTATGTTCTTCAGATCTGTCTGTGCTGATTGCCACGTAAAAATAGAAAAATCCATAACAAGCCGCTTTAACACAATGGCCCCCTGCATGCTGATGCACAATGCGTCTCCAGCATTGCATGCTGTGGTGAGCCAGGCTCTGCTTGCTGATCCCGAGTCCTGCAGGGTAATAAGTACCATTACAGGGGAATATAACAGAGCAGAGACCAGATGTGTGTGTGTGTGTGTGTGTGTGTGTGTGTGTGTGTGTGTGTGTGTGTGTGTGTGTGTGTGTGTGTGTGTGTGTGTGTGTGTGTGTGAGAGTGTGGGAACACCAGAACGAGGGAAAAACAGCCAGCACAGCTCTGTTAAAAGTTAACAACCTCTGCCTCCCAGCACCTCTGAAGCTCAGAAAGGATGTTATATCTTGTTTGCCAATCCACACAAAAGCCCCCCCAAAAAAACTATCATTGTTAGTTTCCATGAAGCCCCCCTGAAGTCGCTAGGCAACCTCACAGTGATGACAGGACTCAAGGAAGTCACTGCTCCACCACATTCATGTCGGCCTTCACTTCTTGCAAGGTCTAAAGAATAGTTTGCCATTTTTGGGAAATGATCTCATTTGCTATCTTGCATAGTTAGATAAGAAGATCTTTACTGCAGCCAGTAATGTCCATATGATCAATATTTAGTTATGAACTGGTTACCTCTCCACCAACACAAGACTCCAAGAAATCACTACATTACATAACCTCTGTTACATTCACATCTTCTGTTCTTGGTTCTTCTGTTCAATCTGAAAAAGAGCTTTCGAGCTGCTGGAAGGTGGATTTAGTTTCAGTTGGACAGAGGCTCTCCATGCAAAGCCCCCTTTGGAGTGTAACCCTTTAGAGGTCGAATCCATGCTCTTAATCTTGGAAAGAGCGCACATGCATTTCCCTCAAACGGCAAACTTCTTTTTGCTTTATTGTCATTGCCTTTGTTTTAGTATAGCCAGTATGAATATATTAAGTTGGTAAATCAACTAACAAAACAAAATACATGATAAAAAAGTAAATGTGGCAGTTTTGATAGTTCCTCTTTTGAATTTACCTTTTCCTCTCTCTGTATTTCCATCCCTCTCAGGATCCATATAGTTACAGAAAAAAATGTGCTTTGTGTTAAAAGACAGGAGGACAATTGATTTTCCTGTAGACATTGTGGAGAGATACAAAACAAAATCTGACAGGAGCGGCAGCAGTATTTTCTCCACTAATGATGTTCCAGCTAATGTGACTATCAGTGAATCAACACGACACATCCTGCTGTTTCCTCACTGCCATCCATCCTGTTCACTTCTTCCCCAAAAGTTCCTTTGACAAAGTATGGCGCCGTCCCGCTCCATCGCACGGATCAAACTTCCACACGCACCACT